ATTCGATTTGCAAAAGGATGAATTTGATTTGCAAAAAGGCGGAATTTAGAGTATAAAAACTGTAAATCAAACGTGGCAACCGGCGGGCGTTTGTGTCGCCATCTCCACGCAACGTCGCGAACCAAGAAGCGTGTTTAAATTATCTACTGCGAGTCATCGATCGCATTGTTGGATTTTCATTTTTTTTTTAACAATAAATATTACATAGCAGTCGACGTACATAATGTTAAAAAGTTGTAGCGCTAGAATATTCTGTTAAATTAGATAAATAAAGTAATGAAAATATTACATCCACCTTACACAACTCACAAGTAAAAATTTATGTCAAGAATAGAGTACTAAAAGTAAATGAGTAATTTTTTTTTCTTTTAATATACTCACGATTTATTATTCTTATACTCATTCACCACTGAACCGATTCAGAAAAATGGTCCTCGAAGCGAAGGAGAAATGAAACTAGATTTTGCACAGCGACCGTTTTGCTTGCAGCATTCTCAGGATGATAATGGCATCGTTTGAAGTGTTCGCGGAATTAATGAAGCTAAAAACTTTTGACCCTTAATTACGCTGTCCATTGTACTTGGGGAGTTCTTTCTTTCTACGGAGTACCTACAGTAAGAAAGCGAATAAAGAATACGGACCATATCGCAATCAAAGAATGTCTCCTCAAATAAATTATATACGCGGGATTTTTGTTTTAGATGTTTAGTAATTGCACATTTATAATGGAAAAAAAAACATAAATATTAAAGAAGTTCCAAGATTTATTAAAATCTGACCTCTACACAACATGAAACGAAATATTTTTTTAGGACCGAAAACAGTTCCGAAAAATCTGTACGTCCTAAACCTCTGTAAGAATAATGGCTGTACGGTTCACTACACGGTTATAATCTCCATTGTCTACATTCGGTGTAGGAATGGCTATTCAACGATTGTTTGCATCGACGAGTCTGTAAACATTTGCAATTCCAGGTTGCTTTCACAAATGGTACCCTTTCTTGCGTTACTCTGAATACTGACCTTCCACTTTTCATACCTTAACAATCGACCCGAACGCTACGGTTCGAAGCATGACCAAAAACCCTTCCCATTATACGATGCTTAGAATCAACCGACTCGAACACTTTACGGAAGCCGTTAAAATCGCTAAGAAACCGTCCAGTTCTAGCAGAAGCTCGCCAGATAAGAGGAAGAATTCTCGATCCTTCGACGCGGTAAACGGCTAAGGAATTTTTACAACTAAATTTAAAGTATTATCAGAATCGCGACTATTATCCTCCATTACATCCGTTGCTCGAGGCAGTCGCATTAGGTAGACCAGAAAGCACGAACTCGAAGGCCCCGAAAGCCCCACGGAGAATCGCTTCACTGTTTCCTCCCTGAAAATTATACCCTTACGCTTTAAACGCTTGCGAAGTGAGCTCGCGTACCTGGCTTCAGATACTACCTAATCTATTGTCGTCCCTGAAGCTCGGTATCCTTTGTCTGAAATCACCGGAAAATACCTGGCCCATGAAAAATCTCCGAAAATCTTCACGGTACTCTTTTCTTCTACGTAACCAACTCCGATGGACACGATATCAATGAAGATAGATACATGTAGGTTCGAAGAAAACAATCCACTGGAAGGTATTGCCAATTTAACACTAGAACTACCAAACCAGTCAAAGTGACTGGTCAATACACTCTTACAACGACGTTTAAAATGTTATGACAATACATTTTCTCAGATGTTTTGCACCTTTTACTACGATTTGAGAGTGAAAAAATTAGTCAATTTCTAAATTTCTCTAATTTTCAAAAGTTTGCCACGTGCGATCGAAGCAAATATGCGTTTATCGTCGGTAGTTCTAGTGTTAATACGGTCCTGCTGCCGTTTAACGACGCAACCGTATGATCTGCCCTATCCACGGCGAGTCCGGTCGTAGCTCACAGGAGTGGGTGGGCCTGACATTCGCGGTCCCAGGACCGAATCGACGGTCTGGGTACGAGGCTGGGTTACGAATGGCGGGGCGTAGCGGGGTAATGCAGTGTAAGAGAGTCGGGGGCCCTGAGGGCCCCTCACCTGGGTACACTTGGGCCCCAGTACGGAGGAGCGAAGAGAGGGAGGGGGGTTCGAGGGGGCAAAGGCACATTCCAAGGCAGAACGGCTGCCAGTGAAGGTGGAAGGCACCGGACTCAGTCTCTCACGATATTGCGCTCCGTTCCTATCCACTACAGTCGCTTCCTTTCTTCTAGGCTCGGCTCGTCTCTACGTGGGACCGTTCTACGTTGCAATGCGATACACAGGTCGCGGAATCGGATTAACGAGAGATCACGGTGACAAACGGAGACATTCGGCCGCGTGTGTGTGATGCCCGAACGTTTCCTGCGATTCAGTGTGCCAAGAAAGAAAAGTTAATGTGTGTTCGGTGTGTGTGAGTGTGCTCGCGATCGTCTTTTTTGGCGCCACGCGTGGCCGATACGACGACGATTCGAAAATGCGCACGCCTGCCGACATATCCCGGTATTCCAGTGGGAAGACCAAGGAACAGATTATCCCGGGCGAAAATAGACCGTTGCCTCGTGTACAGATTCGTTCTCAGATGGTCGGGCATGCGGAAGGAGCGTCACCGGGAGACAGTGATTGAGAGGATCCGGGAAGAGCAGAGGGTAGCGCTTGAATATTCGATCGAGCAGGTGAGCCGTGGCTATCTTGTTCGCTTAAACTGGATGCTGATTCGAAAACGCGTGTGGGGCTTTCTTTTTCGTATGTATCGAACGAAACGGATAGGATTACGCGGGTTGGAAAAGTGGGGCTAGTGGTTGCCAGGTTCAGGAGAAATGTTTCTATTTTGTTCCTATCGTGTCACGAAAGTAACGAAGAAAGACCATCGAAATACGCTGAAATTCCACGGATTGTCAGGAAACGATCGACAATCCTGGTATTTCGTGACGACGATTCGAACCTGTTGACACACGACCGTTCCATTTATCCGTGACGAGGAAACCGGTATCCCGGTGCCTGAAGGAAGCTGCCACGGTAGAGATAGCTTATCTGAATACCAGAAATTAACAGCTCCTAACTGTCCGATAAAGGTCGCGGCTGTCGATTCGCGTTTGACGTCGCGTTAATCTTCGAACGAGAGCCCCGACCGTCGCTTTCCACTCTTGTCCCTTTCGTTTCGAGGCGAAACCAATGTGATGCAACACACTGCTGGTCGGTTGAACAGTTCAGATCTTGGTTGATCACAACCGATTCCACGATCGTGCAAAAAAATTTCTTCTTTCTCTTTTCACCGGTCAGACATCCGATGAGAATCTTGTGGAACGAGACACAGTTTAGGAGTGGGGAACCAGGGAATCGTCGTCTGTTCGTTCTGCGTGAACGAAATTAAATCCACGTGCCGCGAAGTACATTCTCCCATTCTTGTTCCCCCCCCCCCCTGGATCGACGTGATCTGTTCGAACGACGAGGAGAAAAAGTTAACCGCGGGTCCGAGCAACGCCATCGGCATCGAACTTGACCGTGGCCTTCGGAGTCTTTGCACTCTCGTATAACGAGATACGAAGAATGCGAGTGGCCGAGGAGAAGTCGCCCCCCGGTTTGTATTTACGAGGACTACTTTGGTCTGGTTTGCTTGTAACTAGATGCTCGGATACCGGGCGTGCTTTAAGGGTTCGCCGTCGACGTGATCGATTTTGCAGGTGAAATGCAAAGGGACCATTAGGCTAAGTAGATTCTTCCCTTAAAGTAGCTGTAAATAGGCCCCACGTTCAACGTCACGCCTGATAATGGATGATAAAAGTACACGATAGTGTAACATTTTGTTTTATCCCTTGATCGTATTTATTGGGAGTCTGTACTCCCTATAGAAGTAGCAAAATTCCATTTTTCGAATTTGTTAAAGTTTCTACAAAATTTAGAAGTTACAGACTCAAGAAAATAAATTGTTACGGTTCTCCCTGGTCTTCCCTATCTGTGGTGGATCAACTTGGTACGAATCCTGATAGTCACGATATACCAGACGTAACAATGCTCAACGTCGATGCTTATTATCGAGATTCATGAAGAATTTCTTAACAAGGCAATGGCCAGGGGGATGGAATTCTTTTAAATAAGTACAATACCGGACCATGAAAAGGGCCACTCCTCACAATTCGAAAGAAGAATATCGCCTAATGTTCGCCTGGGATATTTATATAAGTTTCGGCGGAGGCTATTCGGGAAGTTTTAACGACGGAAGGCGCTAATAGGACGCAAAAGTTTTCCGCATTTCCGCGTCCAGAACGAAGATACGATATCCATAGTTAGGATAGGTACCATTGCCAGAGTCTTTATTTAATTGGGGGAATTCGTTAATTTTTTAACCCTAGATCAATAAACTTAAAATTACGACCTCGAATTCGCGATTCTCAAAAATCAATATTGTAACTATGTGTCTAAGTTTAGATGAATAATTATTGTATATAGATAAATACTTGTAATGTAGGTTTTTACCTCAATAGAAATGATATTTCTCTAAAATGCCACGTGATTCCTTTTAGTCGTAATTTTTACGAATGATTAGTAATAAGTCCAGCATCTCCGTAGATCATCGATATACCGGTGAACCTCGTTGAGCTCTTGTGGCTGCACATCAGAGGAAACAAGAGTATTTCTGGAGACGAAATTATCGCTTTGATATTTTTTCCCCGCGTGTACACACACGCTGCTTACGTTCGCTCCTGCTGTTTCGTAATCTGAAACGATTTATCAAGTTCAACGAGGCTGCAGCGACGCGCGGCTAGACGGCGAATAAATCGCTTCCCGACGAGATGTGAGAAATGCGTTGCGACTGACTGGCCAATCGTTCGTGATCGATCGTGATCGCGAAAATCGAACGCGTCGACGAATGTCTTGAATTCTTAGATCCTTCGATTAGAAACCGAAAACACTATTTACCAGCGTTGATCTATGATATCCAATTACCTGGCTGGTTATTAAACTACTACGTATGTATTTTCCAGGCGGAAAAATGTCCCAGCCGCAATTAACCACCGACCTGGACGTTCCGGAAAGTCCGCAACACCCTTGCCAATGCTCCGCCATGAGCAGTATGGATTCCATGAGAGCGCAGAGGGACAGGACGGAGAGAAGCGTGGGTAGTACAAGAATTTCCAACAGTCAAGAACTCCCTAGGGGTCTCGAGGCGTTGCAGAACGCTTTCGAGCCAATAAGAAGACTGGAAAGTCCGCTATCTCATCAGGAAAGCCAACAGATCAATTTAGAGAACACAAGGAATGTCGATATCATGGAGCATCAGACCGGGCTGTCGTCGAATCCAAGATCGATGGATAGTCAAGGGACGATATTGTCGAGACACGGTCACAGTATCACGTGCAGCCCGAGGAACTTGGATCTCTCTCGAAACTTGGCGTTCGAGGCCGCACGAAGAGTTCAGGAATCCGGTGGCCTGCAGGATAACCAACACAGCCTAACTTCCAGCCCTAGCCCTTTGTTGGAGTCTAGCACGGCCATCCACGAAACATCCTCGAAAGATCTGGACAAGCAACTGGAGGATCACCCGGGGTTATCGCAAAAGCAAGCCGCCTCCGGCAAAGATAAACTGAAGAATATTCAGCAGGTTCTGAATCCTTATCAGCATCATCACGAGTCAGCGGAACGAAACGTGCACGGACATTTCCACGGGGATGCCCACGCGCACGTGCACAAACACGCCGAGAATTTCCGAACTAGCGGGAATTTGGACGCTGGTGACGGCCTGATGGGATTTCAGCAACACCAACGGCAACACACTCATCATCATCACGGGAACACGAAGTCCACGAATGTGGGCCATCATCACGGACCTGGGACCGTGCATCATCCTCATGGACCCCAAGGAATGACGGGACATCATCATGGAAACTTGGCACCCAGCCTCACCAGCCACGGTCATGGAAATTCTGTCCCGTTAAACAACTCCAGTTCGACAACGATGGGTCACGGGGGTCAAGGGAACGTTGGCAATCCAAGTGCGCATCATCATCCCAATCCGATGTCTGCGTCCGCCACGATGGGCCACAGGGCTTCACCGACGAGTCATCATCGGCTGGCCAGTGCTACCGGATTGAGCAGTCATTATCCAACGAATTCAGGCTTCTCTAGCGATCATCATGGCACTTCCAGTGCAATGAGTGGAGCGTCGTCCAATTCGAGTATGTTGAATCACGGTGGTTCACCCGCGGTTCATCGACACGTGGTGAACGTAAACAGTAGTCTATCGACCACGCCGTTGACTGGTCATCATCATGGAAGTTCGTCGGGGAGTTTAACCGGACACTCGAGCGTGAACCATCATCACGTTAGTTCCGGAATATCCTGCGAGTCCTCGTCATCGAACGCGAACACGAGAACGCACAGTCGTTTGGATCATGTACACGATCATCATCATCATTTGCAACAATCGCTGCACGCCAACCACCCTGATTCTCGACAACGAGATCGTGCTCCTTCGAGCCTGGAACACCACAGTCATCACCATGGACATATTCACAGTCACGGGCATCAGCATCCGCAGAGCAACGATACCAAAAACTCGTCCCTCATCGGAGTCGATTCGATTCAGGTATAATAATGATTTGTACTGTGGATATCGCGTATAATAAATATAAGTTTCATCCAATTTTGCGTTTAACCCTTTAACGCCCAGTGTATACGTCACATTTAGAAAATCATATTTTGATTAGTTTTGTCGTGAAAATAAAGGAACACGTATTGGGTCCATTTTTGAGTTAACTAATCGCGATAAATAATTTCTTTCTCCGGAAGGTTGTTGGGTAGATGTGTTTGGGCGTTAAAGGGTTATAAAAGTAAATTTTAAAAAAGTAAAAATATAGTTTATTTTAATATCGATATTTTCGACTTTGATATAACAAGATACAACATATATGTCAGTCTCATAATTTTGAAATAATGATTTTGGGGTTTAAGCGTTAAAGGGTTAAAACTATCTTTTGACGTTCAGGTGTCCGCTCCTTCCAAGAGCAAATGTCAATGCCATGTGATGCAAACTGGAGGAAACAAAAGAGGACAAGAGGGTGAAAGCGATGGCAGCGTTGAAGTGGCCACGAGAACGCATCAACCGCCTGCGTTACCCCCTCGGCCACCCCCTAGACCGACCAGGCGATACGAAACAACATCTGCCAATCAGTGTAAGTATAACAAAAATCTTAAGTGTACAGTGCCCCGTATCGTAAAAGAAAAGTTTCATTCGAGAAGTTATAATTACACATTTTTTATACATGCAGTTTCGTACTAGAACTTGCGAGAATAAATATTACTTCGTATCTTTGTATAGAATCAAGTATCTCTTCTATACATAGTGATCGAAAACAGGGTTTATAACTTTTAGGGTAGATAGTACTTGAAAAAAAGTTCTAATAAACATGGGTCGAAAGATTACTAATTTCAAAGTTACAATCTTGAACTCTCTTTCCTTCGAATAAAGAAAATTGAAAAAGGATCTAATAAAAATTGTAAAAAATCTTCTATAACCAGAAAAAGAAACAATGATAAGGTAATCAAACAAAAAATTGTTTATCAATCTCGACACATCGTTTTTATCGAACTTCCACCCTCGACCTATGGTTCAACCAATCTTGAATTTAAACACGATGGTAGAGCCTAGCTCCACCCCTCGACGTTTCACTTGAAAATCGTCGAAACTGTCTGCAGTATCATCTGCACGACGAGCCATGCATAACTTTGCCCCCGTTATCAGTTGCGGTCATACTTTATCGACGCGAAAAAGTCCGCGCTCCGTTGACCGATTCTACTTACTTCATGGGGACACAACCCCTACGGAATTTCAACCCTCGACCGCGACGAGTCGCTCGAATCGTCACGGTATATCGACCAGTCGGCGCTCACGCGAACCGAGAGCAGGAGCATCGTGTCGAAGAATACTCTACGAATCGAACAACAAGCTGGAATACGTTCACGAACCTGGGCCATAAATTCGTAGCTGGTTGGCTGAATGGACGTGGGAGGAACGCCGGCTCGGAGGTCCTTTCAAAGGAATTTCAAAGCTTTAGCCTTCGACACTGGAATCAACCACCACCACCACCACCTGTGGGACACCCCAGCGTGTTTCAGGTCAACACAGATCTCGTGGAGTACCATTCCGGTTGTTGTGCTGCCGCATTCGTCTTCAAGCAGCTAACGAACACGCAGGGGAAAACTAAATCTGTGAAGAAACGAAGTGATCTGTGCCGAAAAGACATTGCTTGTGATATTTTTTTTTCGGAACACCATCGAGTTCCTCTAAAGAATTAACAATAGAGAAAACATTAATAAATCGACGTGCGATCGTTATGCGAAATCGTGAATCGAGAAAGTGTCGTTACGGGAACTTGACCTTGGGAAAAGTGATCCCCTCGCGATGACATGTGATGCGCAAACGTAGACCGTAAAGGGTCGAAGAAGTCGATGCGTGTCATTATCTTCGATTTATCCCTTTCAACTCTGACGTGGACGTAGAGTTTCTCCGTGAAAACTGGACCAATTGTGCAACAAAAAAATCGTGAAATTGTCACATTGAATGACGTTTCGGTGAAGATAAACATTAGCCCGATGGCAGTAGCAGCAGCCACGTGTTAGTCGACAAAGACAATAGAGTGCTCGGGGATCGTACGGGAGTGGTGAACCTAAGTTCGTTAAGGACACGTGAAAAGCGAAGAAGATGGATGGTTATCCAGTGCTGCCGATAGTGCGATGCCGGCCCGGAACGGAAATTGAGATGGATAACCAGGGTTATCCGTTCACAATGGCGGCACACTCTCATTCCTACTTGCCACATCCGGCAAACCACCCGCACTTCCTCAGATCGCACTACCCTCACCCCTGTGGTATGCCGATTAACCCTTCTTGTTAATTTATCTATCGGTCCCCACCGACCCTGTTCTGTCTCCACCACCTAATCCGCGTACTCGTAGGTATAATCCGCTATTAGCAATTCCATTAAGTCGCCTACCGGTACAGCTGAGCTATCCGCGGTGTAATTAATTGTCCGAAACACTCGTGAACTTGATATTCTCACGGAAAAGGGGGACAATAACGTTGCAGTAATTAAAATTTACAATTTAACACTAGAACAACCAAACCCATTAAAATGACGGATTTCAGATTTTTTATTTTAACAATTGCTGAAATCCTAAAGACACTGTCAACGGAATTTGCGTTAATCCTTTAATTTATTATACACTTATAGTATACTAAGCTATATTGCATTATATATTGCATGTATTAATATATTAAACAATTTAACTGAGCATACATTCAATGCTGGTAGTTCTAATGTTAACACGTTGTATACCATTCTACCCAGGACGATGCGAGAGCAAGTTATAGGCGTGGGGAAACCCCCATTTTAACGTGACCAATGTATTTTCTAACGTCCACGTTCTATTTCTGACCGTAAAAAAAATCCGTTGCAACGCCGTAGAAGGTCACGCGGACGAGGAAAGGTTGCCGTATAAATAGGTATCGACGAGTTCCTTAATAAAAGGTGTTCGATACCGTACCGATGGTGGCTCGATACAAATCTTAAGCGTTCAATTTCGTTCACGTCGAGAGAATCGTAGAGATTTCGAGCTGGTGATAATGCTCGGGAATTCGAATGTAACGAGTGCAGGGGGATTAAACGGAAGGTAAAAAATAGGGAGTCGTTTCATTCGTGGGATACTATGTATAGCGGGATCGAGGTTGCCTTTTTGTAGGAAATTGGAAAACCCACGGTTTTCCTTTTAATCTTGATGCATACTTTCCGAGGGTTACGGTTTCTCCCGAACCGTAACTGTATACCGATTCAGGTAGTCGGTACAGGTTTCGCACGGTTTGGTCTGAAATTTTTGGTTGCATTCACGAGAGGTAGCAGGTATTCGATGGTTCTCTCGGTGAAACGCTTTTCCTTGGCCGGTTTCAATCAAAAGTGAGGGCGATAAACTTTGTTAAAGCAAGGTTGCGTTATATTGAAAGCGGAGAAAAAAAGATTTTCTAGCTATTGAAAAGGTAATCCTGACCATCCAAAAGGTCTTACAAAATAACTCCAAAGGAGGCCAGTTTCCTGAAAGAAATGGTCTTCGAATCGGTCACCTCCCAAGAATTGAGCATCAACAAAGCTGAACATTTTCGAGAAGTTAAGGCAGGATGAGTCACGTTGACCAGATCTATTATTCTGAAATTTTCATTCAGAAAGCGACGACATAAATTGAACATGATCGTGGGAGTGATAATCCCGGACTATTCACATTTCTAGAGAACTTTTCATGTTTCAATTCCCCTGTATGTAACAGTCGCAGATTTTACCGGTCGACGGGGAAAAATAATTAGATTTTTAATTACAAAAGATGATCTCGCCACTTGTTCTCCGGACGCTATCGAATAGCTCGGTACCCTTCTGTATTAATGGGGGAAACCTGGTTAAAAAGTTCAGCTCCAACTATTATCCCTCTTCACAAAGAGAGAGAGAGAGAGAGAGAAAGAATCTGCTATTGTCTTTCAAGCGACGTAGGGTACCGAATGCTTCTCTATCGTTCAACATTCATTGAAGAAATTTCCAATACAGCGTGATCGGCGGAATTGTGAACTTTGACAACAGAAGTCGTGTCTGAATGAGCGTTAGAATAGAATGTCTCTGTTATATACCACGAAAAATCGCCACTTGTACGATCCTTACAAGTAGAGGCAATTCTGTACGATGACGTGATTTAATATTTAAAATCCTTCTCTCCACCGTTGAGATTATTAGCGCAAGAAACCTTAAGTGCAGCTCGGATATGGAATCAATTACGTGAGAAGTAATTAAATTATTTAATTATCGAGTATATTTCGATCGATTCGATCGTGGTCAAGGCATCCAGTTAACGAAGAAGAGTAAAAATCGATTGTAGATCCACTATCCAGGCAATCACTAAGCAACAAGATTCGAAGAATTTCGTTCGCGGCACGTTTCTCAGTTCGTGGCCCGATCAGGGGTCTCTCGTTGTCGGGTTCTCACGCAAGGACAATCATTATCCCTCCGAATGAAGGAACTAACACACCACAGGGGAATAAGTCGTGCGGGACCAATTCTGAATAGGGTCGATAGTGGTACAATGGATTCCGTTTTATGACCAAAAGGAAAACTAACCTTCGAGCGATTTCGGTGGTTTCTCAGAGATCTTTTTGAAACGATAAACGCCCGGAAAGATTCAACGCGAGATTCCACCTCGATCCTGAACGCTACCGTTTCTGGATGTTGAAAAATATCTCCCCATCCCCCCTCATGTTTGAAAGATTTTCAGAGCGTAATAATGACTCTTCGTTCCCTGTTTTTTCAATGCTCTCTACATACTGGGCTTGGCGGTCGTCCGCTATCAGTGACCGATTTTAATTTTACAGGCCACACCGGGGAAGGTGGTTGTTGCAAGAAGTACGTTGTCCTTTGTTGCCTTTGTGGCGGGCTGAGCGCTGCGGTCGGAAGTCTCTTTTTGGCGGTGCACGCGGTCCTTTCAGCCCACACGGCCAGCCTAGCACTCTTTGAGACTGTACCATCTTACATTCCTGGCATAATGGTGAGCGGCAAAGATCGGAATAGATTAACAGGACCGTAGGGGTCTTCCTTATACGTAGACTCCGCAACGTCCCGTTCGAAATAATTTCGAACTGGAATAACATTATTTCGAACGATCCATTTACATTCAATGCACATATGTCGTTTGCAGTTAATTTTAATGGGCCTGTTCACGATGCTGCTCGCAAGACGGAAGCATAGATACGGGCTTCTGGTACGTATACAACCGTAATCTATCCCTCCCAAAGATATCATCTTTCTCAATGCAGTAAATCCTCGATGAGTATTCGAAAGCTCCACGGCACTGACAAGGAGATGGTCTCCAGGTGTAACGCTGACTTTTTAATGAAGTTTAACCATATTTGGCCATTTGTTTATGGAATATTTAATGTTCAATGCCGACGAGCCTTCGAACGCTAATCAATGATTTACTGTACTATATTTCATAAATAACATTTTCCATCTCCCAGATGAAAGTCTGCGGTTCCGTTGGTGTGGTGTGCGCATTGGTGTGCGTGCTCGTCACCGTGACGACCACAGTGATACACATGTCACGGTTGCAAGGTCTTCGAAAATGCGTTTACACAGTGAAAGCCAGGTAGGTGTGTCGCGATCGCAAACCGATACATTGGACAGGTTAGCAGACAAGGAAGTTAATAAGAACCTGTAACGATCATTATGTCAGGTCGTGCACGTGTTACGGGTCCCCCGAAGGTGATCCTGGGATCCTTTTCGAAGGGACACCTCATTGCGAGGCGGTTCACGGTGCCCTGCACGCTTGCCTGAGGGCCCTGTTCGGTGTTTCGGTCGCTGGAATCCTCGCCTGCATATTCTCGTGCATGCTGGTGTACCAGTTGTTGAGTCACGAGAAGAAGAAGATGTATTGGGAACAGTTGGAGCTCAGATGCAGATCTCTGTACGGCCAGGGAGGCACCGTGGGACCGCCGACTGGTTCCTGTGGATGTTGCAACGACTGCGGTGGTGCTAGCCCGTGGTGGGCGCAGACACCGGGGAACCTGTACACACCGAATCCTGATCTGGCACCGTCCAGGTATACATAGATTTAACCTTCAAAGGTCGTTCGACCATTCTTCATTTCAACCGACAGTGTCAACGGGATCAATTCTGCGGAATTGTAATGGCAACAATTTAAATTGCATCAATCCCACGGAGTGAATCGTTTAAAGAGGGTGGGGAACGGTTGAATTATCGGTGCTAGTCGCGACGTTCTTCCCAGAAAATTTTCCCGGAGCCGATTGCATAAGAGCACACGTAACGGGTTGGCTGTTAACAACGTTCGCATCGCTGTAATTTCATCGCGGTGAGGAGGGCCCCCAGCTGAAAGTCTTCATTCAGCCGAGTTATTGATGCAATTCAGATGTTGAAACGTGTGCCACGTTTGTTCCGCGAGCGGAACGGATAAATATTCAATAGATTTCTCATTCACGTGTGTCACGAGCGCGGCAACGGTGAGTTAAACAGGGTGCAATAAACTCCGTAAACAAACCGAATAGCGTTCCAGACGGCTCCCAGGACAGTGAACATTGTATTCCTGTAATCCGTTAATATATGGCATTAATTAAGCCGGCTTCATTCCGTTCCGCCGCTGACATTCAAGAGGGAGGCTATTTCTTCGGGTCTTCGAGATAAATTATGACGGATCGTCCGCTTTTGGTCTTTTTAAGTTTCGCTGGTTTCGTCCGGATCGATGATAAAAAAACCGCCTCGTGATTCGCGTCCTTTCGCGGAAAGATACGATCGTCGTGAGAGAAACTTGGCGATATTTTTGCGCGTGCACGAATTCCGTCCCCGTCTTCGGGGAAAAACAGTTCTTCCACCCGTTCGAGAGAACGTCGCACAGTCAGACGGATGGGTATTTTAAGTGGAAGTGCTTTATAGAAATTTGTTTTAATAATGTGTGAGCTTCGTGGCACATTAATTTCAAAGTAAAGTGCCTCGTAATTCGACTGGAACGATTCGTCGGGAATTTTTTACGAACGAAAAGGTCTGTTCACATGTCTTTCTAATGTTTGCAGAAGATGGCGACTTCCTTGGTCCAGATCGAGAGGACCAGCCCCGAGTCCCGACTCAAATTACGGCTTTCACACCCAAGCCAGACAAACGGAGGTGAACGTGGAGACGACAAACGGTCCTTACAGTGTTCTCAATTCTCAGTCGAGCGGCCCATACTCGGTTCTGAACACGCAAAACGGACCGTACACACCGAGCACAGCGTCTTACAGCGTTCTCGAGACTCCTGTGCCCATGTGGGGTCCTCCTCCACCTTACAGCGATCCGAACAGCCCAGCCAGAAGACCGCAAGTGGCTGAACAAAGGCCCAGGATCGCGAAACGAATAGAGAATTTCGAGAACAACGAAGGTAACTGTTCACAACACTCGTTACGCGTGTTAAACACCGGCCAATTATAAGGGAGAAACGTGTACCTTAAAACTCGTATATTTTGGGTGCCAGATCATCGGCCAAGACCAGCGAAACGTCCGTCTGACAATTACGAGAACGCCGAAGAAATATCGAACAGCACCGATCCAGAGGGCGGGAACGAGGGCACGATGAAAAGCAGACGGATCAGAAAGCCCCTGAAGGGTGTGGAGAACGGTGCGTTCCAGCAGGAACCGAATACCGGACCAAAACAGTCGGAAAGTGAACTCTACTTCGGCGACGTGTCCTCGTGTTGCGGCCCCGAGAGCAGTTTCTACGATCTGGCCGTCGAGAAAGAAGGTAGTGGTACATTTTCACGAACGGAAAACCGTACTTTGAGTAATCCATTGCCCCGAGAAATGATCGAACAAAATTTCATATTCACCCGATTAGGAACCGAACATTCGGAGGACGTGGACTATCTGGCAGCCCGTTTAGGCAAACGACAACTATCCAAGCGATCCAGACTGCCTCTTCCGTTGCCGTCAGAAGGTGGTGACATACCGTCTGATAATTATGCGAACAGCGACGAACCGAGGAGCGGCAGAGGGCCATTCCTAGCTCCAGACGCCCAGTACGAAGTGATACAACAGGGTCGATACTCGTATTACGCGTCGAAGGACGACGAACAGCTTCCAGAAGGTCCTGCGACTTCAGGTTATTTCAGAGAGGAGGAGACTGACAGAGGCAGAGAGTACAGAGATTACAGGAGCAGCCAGGAAGAGGAAACGCCGCAGTGTTGTCTGAGCGACTCGACGACACTGGATTCCGGCTGGCAGAGCGGTGAACAGCAACAGTCTGACGACAATGTTCGACCGGTGAATGTGTAACTGAAGGATTTTCAAAACTATGACATAACGAAATCGAACTCAGAGTACAATTGATCCTTTGATTTCTTAGAGAAGAATCAGTGGTGAACCGTGTCCATTTAGTCTTTTATTGTGTCTCTTTGGAGACCTCCAAGTCTAGCGGAATCCACTCTGGAGAGTACCGTGGAATCGGGCAGAGGGATATTTGTGTAGAATACAGAAAAATGATGATAAGTGCGAGTCGACGATTACCGTATCCGTAATAGTGTTGTAAGGCGATGTGATTTGTCGTGGTACAGTTTAGTAGATAAGACACCTATGTGAGTAAACCTTAATCGTTAGGATGTATAAGCGAACGAATGACGAATCGCGTGATCGTCGTGACCTTAGAAGTCTGAAGAGTTGATTAGAGATGGAAATTCTACGTCATAGTGTTTTCACGAAGAATCCTACGTAGCCACGTATTTTTTATTGATTAATGTCACCCGTGTTGTTCGTAGCGTTAATCGTTGATGGATGTATGCCGAAGAGAACACGTACGCAAAGAAAGAGAGAAATTATTAGTTTCGTATAGGTGAAACCATCGAAGAAAAGGTCCCTGAACGAGGTCAGAAAGTTTTCCAAAGTCACGTTGCCGTTCTGACAGGGACCATTTCGTCGGGCACTCGTTAGAAACGTCCATGTACAAAAGTGTGCTTTATTCTTGCCAATACGTTGCTGGACATCTGCTCGAATTCACGTTTCGGGCGTTGATTCTTGCGAGAACGATTTACCATTAAGAGAGTTACGTTTGGATTCACAGGTCGAGAGGCTTCGTTAGGGCTCCTGAATGCACGGATACTGCCATTCGTCGGTGATCCTCTCGATTGGTCATATGGAGGGTTAACGAAACGTTTTAGCATGCCTGGAATTCTGACTTCCACGAATCTACATTGCATACTCGGTCTTAACGATTAGCTTTTTTAACGAACATACCTGGAATCACACATTCGTCACGCATCGTGATTCGCTAACAATTCGATAGACTGTCATTATTCGCGCTTGTGGGCAGAATTCCTCGATAGGATGCTCGTGTTCTGTGCTAGCCTTCGTCGAGACTTTTTACGTTGCGTAGGGTCGCATTCGCTTCCAGGCATACAAATTCAGGTGGACCAAAAAGAAGAAAACTACACATCGCTAGGTCGAGTCCGATAAGTTAGGATTATCGTCGATCGTCTATTACTAGACTCTCAGCTGTACATCACGTAACCATGTGAAAAACAAATAGCATATTTTCTGATCGGGATTCAAGAGTGAACAAGACAGAGCCAGCTTAAGAGGAGTAGCTTAACGTTCTTTACTCGAATAAAGTGTACCTTAAGAGCGATCTACATAGCAAGTCGAACGATGTAATTGATAACTATGAGAAATAAAGCTTCGTTTTGTAAAGAAACCGCGCACAGCTCGATGAATTGTAGCGATTCTCTCGAGTATATAATAAATTCAAAGAGCATAAAATATCGATTTTCGCGACGCACGTCTCTTCCTGATTTCTTCTTCACTTTCTTTCTACCATTGGATAGAACGACGTAATGAATACATACTCGTTTTCCCAAAGGATCTATTTATTTAGAAAAAAATTTTATGGTCCAATTAAAAGAACGAATAGAGAGCAGACGGTAATTGTTCCTCGGTCAACGTTTCCATCGGCGGTTGATATGTCACAGAAACACGCCCAGGTAAGCATTTGACGTCGGAATGCGGGACCCACAGTCACGGTGAGCGCTATTGTCAGCAATTTTCTTGGTAAACTCCCGCGGTCTCCGCGATTGGCCAATATCAGATTATGGGATTTCGTAACAGGCGGCGCACGATTCCGTTCAACTTTCGCAACACGTATGCGCGCGTACGAGAGACTAAATCCTATTGTGGGCAACGTTTGTGATCACGCGCGATCCAGGTCGATCGGTCGAATGAAAATCGGGACTATGTTTTCCCAGCGTATTATTTCATCTTTATGTTCAAGTTTAACCGTGGTTACAAAAATAAACGAACGTTACTACGAAGGGGTTTATCTCGATGAACCGAAAAAAGCGCGAAGACCAGTCGGAATATTAGAACCGGTTACGGAAGAGTGGAGTTCGTTTATCAGTTTCAACAACCGTGTAACTGTAAATAAACGGTTTTGCGTTCAAGTATATCACCGTTGCAACCTCGTAATTCAGACGAAAGTTCCAAACAGGAGTTGAAACGGTTCCGAAAATAATTGTTTCAACTGTTGTATGTCGGTTTTTACTGAAATAGTTATGAAGAGACTTTATTGTGAATAATAATTAATTAATGTACAAAGAATCGAAATTTTCGTCTATATTACAATATTATTGTTATTATTATTATTAGTTTTCGTTCTTCTTCTTTTTCGTATACTTTTCCTTTTCATAAGTTCATTACATGTATGTTTATTTTTAAAACACTGAAATAACCTATATAAAAATGGATACTATTATAACCGAAATAGATATAGACGAAAATTTCGAACCGAAAATCAATATTATAATAGTTTTCAACCACCGGTTCGAAGCGATACGATACTCAAGCAGAAGATGCAATTAACCATGGCGATAAATCGCAATTAACCATTTTCTAGGATTACGTCGTGCTCGTAACGATCTCCTAGAACGAAGACTCGTTATAAATAACTGCCGTTTCTTTAACTGTATCCACAGTCTGAATCGAGAGTGCACCGTCAGCTGTGACGCAATCCATGGCTGAGTTAGCGGGACGCTATTCGCAAATTACATCCAGTAGATTTACGGAGCACGTTTCTTTCGGTACGAATCAATTAACGGAGCTGGAGTGAGGGGACGAAGGAAATTAGCCGTTTGTCGCATGGAAGTTTATTAGATTCGTTGCATAATACTGCGATTCGCATGATCGACGACTGAAATAAACGTGGAACTTCCAAGATGCTACTATCCTACAAGTGTGAGATCGACACAAAACGCTACGAGAAATTGCTCAATTATCATTCACAATAATCAAGATATCGCTATCGATTCTAGACACATATTTCTTTCAGTCTTCATTGTCATTTCACAAGACTGGCCCCACTTCTGTATCACGAACAGGATCCCTCGACGACTCTGTGCGCCGCCTGGTTCGCCAAAAACCTCTCCACCCGTTCCCTGAATTCGTTGCTCGACTCCGGCAACGGTAGCCTCGGCCCACTGCTCTTCAGCCCGTGCAACACCGTCAGATTCTGCAAGCTCTCCGACAGCCTTCGATCGTGATCCAGAATATCCGGCCTTGGAATCGGTGCCTTCCTCTTTCCCATACCCTCCGAATTTCCTCGACTACTCGAACCATTCGCATACCCTGATTCCGGCAATCGATTCATCATCCCCCGTAACGCTATCCTCGCACTGAGGGCCGACCAAAAGGCCTCCAAAAGTGACGCGACCAGCACGTTCACGGTGAGCAGAATTTTAGCGTGTGACGAGTCTTGATAATTCTTCTGCCAGAAGGACATCACTCTATTCTTCACAGACTCCAAAGATTCTTCGGTAACATTACTAGATTCTTGTTCCACGACCTCTTTGAACGTCAACCGAGTATCTTCATCCACCGTACCATCGTCAGGTAACAATTCTCTAGAATTCTCTGAACCATTCCCTCCAAAACTACCTGTCGAAGCTTTCAGGATGTAGCCAGATATGTTTGACATATTGTCCAGTACAATTCCAGGGGTAGCTGCATTCAAATTGATATTCGGTAATTGGTCGAACGTCTCCAAAGATGTCGTCTCGTTCGTCAGAGTTTCGTTGTCCAGATGTCTGCCCAGGTAAGAATGATCACGTGGCTGCTCGAGAATCTTCTCCAAGGACCAGAGAGATGATCCGTTGCTCTCTGCTGCTGCTGCGATATCGAAAGCCGTCGCGACGAAGCAGAGGATTGCCGCGACCAGGGAGAACAGGCTTCCGTAAAAGAATATAGCGATGTTCCGATCGATGTACCAGCGTCTCCAGGCCAGCAAACCCGTAACGAACGGTACTAGACACGCAACAGATAAAACTGGTCCTTGAAGGGACAAGGCTAAGCTACCCAGCAGAAGGGAAAGCGCACCTAATCCGAAATGCACGAAGGACAGGCCGCCCACGGTCGACGCCGAGTAACGTCGTTCTGATGGGTACAGAGAAGACAAAGGTGGTTTCGTTTTCACCTTTATCACGTACACGTTCTCCATCGTTAGAGTCTTCACGCTTGGTAGCTCGAATACAGTCAACTGGATTAAGACAAGAGAATCATCGATGTCTCCAGCGAAAAGTTCACCGCACCTGTCGCGTGGTAACGCATCGCTGTTTAATTTCCCAGACGCGCATACAAAAATGAAATTATCGAGCTGGATCCCTCCAACGGAAATTGCTCGGACGCTTCCTGCTGCCTCGGAAATGAAAAGCACTTGACCGTGAACGAAATCTACCGGGTGTCACGACAAATACAACGATGATATTCTATTTATTCTAATAATAACCACGGAAAACGTACAGGACAGAATTTTCACTCTTCTCGAGAGGTGTCGTAACCGAGACTGATTTCGCAGCGTCTGCCTGCCCAGACGAGTGATTCCTCTTCAACCGAGCATCGCAAAACCGCGACCGACCGCGTCCTCCGGCGTTAATCCAGTCTTCAATAATTTCCGGGCTGACAGTACGCGAAGCAGCCGGTCAATTATGCTAACCGCCTCGACTTAATTGAAATCTTCGTCCCGCCATCGCCACGGATTTCTTCGTGACTATCGTTCAGACACCGGTGGGCTTGTGCAATCCGTCGGAGCCAACAATGGAACGAGGACGAAAACTCGCAGGAGAGAACGAAGAGGAGCTGCGACGAGAGTGTATCCAATGAGCGTGAACGCGGAACGGTGAATAGGTTTAACAACCCGGTGGTCTACGCGGTCTACGTTGCTTCAGACTTCTATTTTTCTTTCCTAGCCGGCTAAATATTATGCAATCTCGGTCGATTACGAGGCAATGCAATTATCCGAGCGAACACGCGTGTGTCTGCTCCCTGAGCGTTTCCTCAGACTCTGTTTTCTCCAGTTGTTTCTTGCTCCCCCTCCTAGCGAACCACTGCCTGGCTTTTCGACCTCTTGGGAAATCACTGATCCAGTTTCCGTGGAAGAGAATTGTCTTGATTCTGTGTCGATGATAAATCGATTGTCCCCTAGTTCGGATAATATGATTGTGATGGGTTCTTGTTGGAGCGAATAAGGCACTCCTTCTTCCCTAGATAGGTCACTGTCAGTTAATCGAACGCTGGTCCAGCAATTAGCATTGTTATGAACATCGAAGGCTGTGAACGCATTACGCAAACGTATCGTTGACACTCTAGTCGTTTAAAATTCGTTGGTGAGATCCTCCGGGAATAGTCACTATTCATGAAATTTATGTTCTCTTTCAGTAACGTTACGCACACAATACACGTGTTTTGAATTAAGAAAATTCTTGATCAAGATAGTCCCCGGTGTAATTCACGGGGATTATCCGCGGGAGACACTCCGACAGTGACTGAACCGCGAAGACTAGTTCTGGCTGAAATCGCTATGAGATCCTGAACAGGCCTCCCACGCGCCTCTCGGTTCACAGTGAAAGGGACACCGAACGAATAGATGAACCTTCGCGTTGTTACAAGCCTTCTTCACACCACTTTCCGCGGTCGCGAAACGATGTCACGCTCACGAACGTGGAGGAAAAAGCGGTAAGTTTACTCCGCTGCATATTCATAAACCATGCATTATGTAAAACTGTCGTCTGGTGGCTCCAGTTCTCATGCAACCTAGCCCGACAACTGTCTATTGTTTAATGAGCGTAAAATAATTCACAGGAAGATGTGTCAAAATACGTGAATTTCGATAAGAAAGTTTGTAAATATTTTAGTATAGTCTTAGGTCCAACTTTAGGGGCTCGAACAAATCCCAACATGGTCACAAAGGATCGCTCTGACCTTTATTCTTTTACGGTGGAAGCATATAGGCTCGGCAGTCGACCTTTTCACTGAGCTGTTGCCAAACAACGATACAAAGGTGAGTTTACCACCGATTTTTCTATCCGACAAGAAAGGGTTGGAACTTCCAATCGACATCGAGTCGTACGAAGAGATTCCCAGCAACCACCGCTGAGTAATTACGGTAACTGGATGGCCTGCATTAACTGGACAATTAAAAGGGGGATTAATATAATCCGTCGGGGTCAATTGTACCGTTGTAAAACCTTGGTTAGACCGACGGAACAGCGTAAGATCTCATTTCGCATCTTTAATTACGGTTACCGAGGCAATTGTTCCAAATTTTCAGCAGGCATCTGCTTCCATAAACATTGAATTCGACCTTCTGCCCCCATCATCAATGGGAATAATTGAACGGGGACTGGTCGAACATCGGACTGGCAATGGAACAATGTTCGATGACTCAGAGCACACGGGTTCAAACGTCCCGACACAAAAGAGGAACGAAGCACACGTTTCGACGCGTGTCACGTGAATGGCCACGCACGTGCTGGCTCGTGTTTTCCAAATCGATCTCCGGAGGCATCACCGCGAGCAATCACAATCCCGTTTTTCAGATATTCATCATCGAACAAACTATACCGCAAGAACAAATTGTTGAAAAGCATTTCACAAGAAACCTTGTGAAGCTGCTAAAAATTACAATAGAAGCACTGCGCACAAAAAAAAAAGAGAAAACTAAACTTTCTCGATCTTCTGGAAGAGAATTGTTTCGTCGTTGATCGATCGTTGGAGCAGAAAATCTGCTACAACTTTCCTGGCCAATGATCGTTACACCGCGAACGATAACGACGAAACGGCTGTTCAATGGAGCCAATAAGAAGGATCGTTCGAATAAATCGACGATTTTAAATTCGCTTTAATAGAGATACTCTAGTCCTTATCGCTTACGTAAACGAACCAGAAAATATGTTGGCGGCGTTCGAAAGGAAAGTTGATACCGTACTATAGACACTCCTGCCCCCCAATCCTTATTTTCATCGATGGTTCCTTCGCCATTCACCTTTCAATATTTTTACATCTCGATTTCTCGAATCTCCTGGACAAAATCAATCTGTTCGGTGAAGCGTGAAACCAGTCGTTTCTTGTGGAAAACTATCGTTTCCGGCAACGGACACGCTTAATCGTTTATTATAGTCTCTTGGCCAGGCGTTAAAGTCTCCGCGATTTCCTTGCTGTTCTAACGATATCTTCGTTCTCGAGGATCCGTCAATTCTAACGCACGTAGTGTTCTTCGAAACGACTTTTCGGCCGTTAACGCCCGTTTCATCGGTACGTACAGAGCCAACAGTGCATTTGGTGCACGAAGAGTGAGAGATAAAGAGCGCGTTTGTGATCGAAACGCGTTTGTGTTAGAGCAGCTGTTACGACTGGGGCACGCGTCCCAACGGTTCGCGGCAGCTGCCCAGAAAATTATCTATAGTACCCTCGACTGGAGTTCTTTCGCGGTGTATACGTACACGCACACACGCGTAGGCATATTATAAAATATCCTGCTTCACATTACATTTGCAATAAGTATCTCTAACTAATATAGCTCGAGAAACTTCAAAATATGTGCCTAACTTCACTAGATTAGTGTGTATAGTTACATTTTTTAAAAATCGAAGTTCTGTTCCTATTAATATTATTCGACTTCGAAAGGTCATTCAGATTAAAGATTTCAGGCACTATTATCCACAAATTTTTAATTCTTTACTTGAGGCTTTACTACGTTAATAATATCACATAATAAAAAACTTCATCAAAACCTTTTTCTTATTGCATTTTCCAAGTTAAAAGATGCTATAAATGCATAAACATTATTTTTCTATACATTACTTATTTATCGAGAATGGTACATAAACTTGTACCCCTTTGATTATTTAAGAACGACTAACTCAATGTGAATCGTGAGGTATCGCTTCGATACATATGTTACTTGTAAATTAGATATATGTTCAATAAACATTAATAACCGTTGAAAAATATAATCGACAATAAAAACGTACCCGAAACCATTTAAATTGTACAAATTAATACCGGGAGGGATTTAAAGTTTAAATGTCGCGGCCTGAGAGCAACGAGGGCTACTAAGGCGGTCATGTAAATTCCTCGACATACCGTCAAGGGTAGGCACGAACATAGAGAACGTTGGAAGGAACGTACTATAGACGAAAGGGCCCCCACCCTGCGATGGGACAGCGGGCCCGTATTATGTGAACCCTCTGACAACCCCTCAGGTAGCCACGGCGAACGAAACATACACGTACACACGTACACTCGCTGGAAACGCATGGAGAAACGCATGGAGAAACGCCCTTCGTGCATCTGCTCTTAAGGGAACTCGTGTGGCAGTTTGTTGCAGGCGATCGTGCCGCACGGACCGAACGCAATTGCAGAGCATTTGGACTTCGCCCCCACGGACTCGTGGACATTTCAGAGAATATATTCCAAACCCACGAAGCTCGCAGAGACTACAGAAACAAAAAGTGTAGTGTTTCCCTCCGAAAGGTTCCAAACGGTCGCAGGTAGACCTTTTCGGGAACAAGTTTCTCGGACAATGCGTTATATCTGCGAAAAGTGCAAAGGACAACGGATTATCCATCGATAGGAAATGATTGAAAATGTGCAAAATAATCCAAGATCCTTCATTGGACGTCGCCTCGATACCTGTACGGTTGCGTGCCACGGCCATTAATATATACCCTACGACTATCACCCCGCAACCATCTGCAGCCCCTACCTACGTCAGCAACTTCTACATGATCAGCAGAAATCGACGAACTCGCGCTTAAAATCCTCTCTTGCCAGGAGTAACTATATACGCGGGTGACGAACGTATGTCGTGCGTGTCTTAATAGAGAATCATCCATTTACGGTCCCCAGCACGTGAACTATCAATACAGTGTCTCGTGCGTAACCGTAGCAGCCTACGCAACGGAAAAAAACGCGCTACGTTTTACAAGACATTAATCAAAATTTGTACTGTGAGTCCCTAGAACGAAACGAAATGGCTCAGGCGAGTGAACCCGTCCCAGTGCATTGTTACACCAATCCATCGTTTTGTCAACAATCGGAATATATTCCAGAGGATCAAGCTAATGATCTACCGCCACCCCCGCAGTTTCAAAGTACAGACGATCTACCACCTCCGCCACCACCGTTGATCTTGCAGGCGCAATGCAACGGGGGTCAAAGTAATCCTGCATTTCAGGGACACACGGAGGGTAGCAGAATCGAAAATCGTGAGAGTAGAGACAATAGATATTGTTACCTCGAAGAGAACAGGATTTCAAGTCATCGACGATATGCAAGCCTTCCGGTGGAAGAACATCGGCCGACGTACAATCAGCATTCGAGGTACGATTACATACAGGAGGAACAGCAAAGAGGTCAGATCCAACGAAGGGGCTCCTCAAGGTATGAGTTCATTCCGCACCAGCAGGTGCAACAACGTTCCGCATTGTCGGCCAACCAAGACCACGGCCGGGAACCGCAGATGCAAAGTTGCCGGAACAACGCTGGAAGATACGCGGTTGTACCGGGTGATCAAGAGTTTCACGACGAGGAGGCCGTTTGGAGCACAGGGAACAATCACGTTTCCCCCGTACGAAGGCAACACATCGACACACCACAAGGTAAGGCTGGCGAGATTAATCGACGATTAAAATTAGGGGTGGGTTGGAAATGCTCGAAATTCTCGAAACTCGAAGTACTGGTTTTGTATCTGGAATGTTTTGTTTTAAGAACTGAAGTCTCGACACAATTTTTGCATAAATATGGATTGCCCATAGTTAAACCAAACAACAATATATTCACTTGACCCTTCTTCAGCACTAACATTTAATAATTCAGCAGATCCTACTTTTTACTACCACTTAACGATACGTCAAATTCTCAGGAATCGCATGTTCTCGACCAGTATTTCAACAATCACGATCGATCGCCAATTTTATATTTTATATCTTGAAAAACAAATAAAAAACTGTAATTTTTCATCCTGAGCTGGAAATTTTACGGTACTTTACGTCTCGAGATCGCGATAGTTAAGCAGTAGCGTGTTACTAGGTCGTTACAGCAGAGTGCCCCTGCACGAAGAGGACCCTCCGGAGCTACCAGAAAGAAACGGGCAAGAGTTGTCGGTCTCGCCGCGAAACAACTTAGCCACGCAAAAACTTCACGAGATATTGACCACTCCCAGGAAGCCACGATCCAGGTCCGAGGAGAGAACCCTGTCGCCGAAGAGGCAACACTCGTTCAATCAAACCGGTACGCCACAAAGAAGAGCGCTCACTCCAGGTGGTTCGCCAACCGGTATGTATTTCATGGGTGGATTGTGTATACAATGATAGAAGATGTACTTATACCTTCCACGCAACTACGCCATAGATACTACAGTAAAACATCGATGAGTGTTGAAAGACTCCTCACCACTGAGTCTTCAGACGTCATCCCCACCATTAGGGGAGTCCCCCGTAGAAACAATTAAGAGCCCAGTGGTAGAAATGACGTCTAAACACACAGTGCCGATGAGCTTTCGAACACTCATCGATGATTTCCTGTATTAGTCTTCGCGAATTTCATCTAAGCTATATTATATCCTATGTACAATTTACCAATGCATCCTTCAGGACGAACGTTTAGCCCTACCCGCTCTACACCCCAAGGAACACCCCAAAACCGTAGATTCCCGCCAACAGGGCCACAAACTTCCACCCCGAATAAAGAATCCTCGGCCAGAAGGTGTCTACCGTTGCTGGAGAATCCTCCACAGCAGGATGTCTGCCCAGCCAGCAACTGCGGGCGACTTCGATACGTCGGTACCGCTCCAGTCGACCTTCTGTCGATGGGTCACGGCGAGCCACCACCTCGTTACGCGTACATGGATAACGGGCCAGAGTCTATGCCGATGGTGTCCGGTTCGCCGAGGTATCAGGTGATCCCCGCAGGACAGAAACGAAACGGCTACCAAAGCGTGGAAAGCGCGTTCATCGCTCGTACTGCGGTGGTGAGTAAAGGACAGTCCTTCTCGTTTGGTTTAAATGTGTTTCTCTGTGTCGTGATATGACGCAATCGGAGCTGGAAAGGAAGATGTGGTTGGTGATCTAACTTCGTTACTCGGTCGTATAGGTTCCTCCTCTCTCGCCGCCGAACAGTGACGCAAACACAACCTTGGCCAGCGGTTTGGAGAAGAACGATAGGAGAAACGCACCGCTTCTGTTGGCGTTGGTCGGTATCTTGACTTGCGGTCTGGCGTTATATTTATCCTGGACGCAAGGAAGAAGGTACACACGCGTTTCTTTCGCATATATTGAATAATAGAGGAATGTTGTTGAATTTGGTTCATTGCCTACGATGGAAGACTACTACAACTTGTGTCATATGTCTTGCATAAATACTAAGTTAGTTACAGTAAATCCTCGATCAATGTTCGAAGGATTCTCGGCACTGAATATTCAATATTTCATAAGTTAAACCGCATTAAAAAGTCAGCGTTACACCTGAAGACATCTTCTTGTCCTGAACACTCATCGATGATTTACTGCAATGCAATACAACTCGAATTGCTCACGCATAACAAGTTATAGTAGTGATCCATATTTGGTAACCTTCCTCTATTCCTGTGGGAGTAGGGCCGTAACAAGACTGAAGGGATCAATATATATTTCCAGATACTACTACGATAGCGCAGCAGGTTGTGGAGCGTGTTGCACCCTAGCAGGAGCATGTAGAACGTTAAGAAGAACTTGGACTGGACTTGGACTCGCTGGACTTTCAGCGCTGAGCTGCGCAGGACTTCTGTTGCTCGCTGCGAAATCCCCTAAAGCTGGCACCCCTCTACATGATGTTACAGCTGGAGCACTGTGTGGAGTTTCTCTATTGGGCGCTGCTTTGGCGTTGTTAGCTCTTTTGGCGCCAAGATGCAACTTGGGCCGACACAGACGGGTGCATTCCTGGATACCTCGTCTATCGCCTTAAATTAGTTAGTTTCGACACACAGTATTCGTAAAGAAGCAAAACTTGCACACAAAGCTTGCATTTGAATCTCGTTCGTAGTCTAGATATCGATATCGCGATACTCCCTGAAGCCACGTTCATGGTGGTCCTTAGAAACGCATGCGCACGGTAGATCAGGACCTGAAAAAGAGGGCGAAGCTTCGCTTCTGTAAGAGTGCTCTGTGGCGTAGACTGTTCTCGCGAATTCTTGGACGAGATTGCGACTTGTAAAGATCGTTTCGAAAACTTCTCGATAACGTGGAAGCTATCTTTATTTATATACATGGTTTTTAATCCAGCACGAACGAAATCCTAGTCTGCTTTTTCATTGGGTGTACAAGAGGGTATTTTAAGTCGGTGGCGTCTATACATAGGACTTTTACAACGAAACCAAATAAATTTGTAATATGTATTCTGTAAGTTGTAAGATTTTCAAACGTGCTCGTAATATGTACCTAACCGTAAGACTGTATACCCCGAAGATGGACAATTATGTAGGTACCGAGTATATACATATATATATTTTGTACTGATTCTCGAATAAAAATTCATCCAACAATCACGAAGTCTGATCCATTTTAGCGAAACGCAATTTACGACCATCTTTGTCTACGGTTAACGGATGTGTTCCTTGTCGTAGATATGCCGAAAGGAAATCGACTTCCTTTGCGTCACGCAGAATTTCACATTTTCAAGTTTCACGCGAGCCAAACGCACGCTGTTGCGCGGCGTAACGACCCCAGAACCGTAATACCGTAATAATAAAATGTTGTTACGTGGAGAAACCACTGTGAAGGTGATAGTGCAATAACAATTGATCGACCGTTCGATTCACAACGTGAAATTCTGGAGTCTCAGTTCGGAGAGCTCGATAATGAGTGCATTAGGGATACTGTTTCTTGCGTTACAATGTTCTGTTGTGTCTGGAAGATTGACCACCCTCAGAGGAAAAGAGTCAAAGTATAACTCCTCGCCCGATAACAGAAAGTTACTGTGCGTGTCGGAAGACGATGGCGGCGGTTTAATATGGAACAGTAATTTAAACTGGCTTTATAGTTCTTATCAGTTTTCTGATAGAAAAGAGATTACCGGTAAGTTTAACGAGCATTGAAACTATTTCAACAAGAAAGTGTACACTCGGAATGAAAACTAGAATGTAACATAAATTTCAGCTTTTAAAAGTTTGAAGGAAACTCAAAAAGGGCAAATAGATTGCGATTTAAATCCGTACGAGAAATGCACAAGACTATGGAGTACAGTGGGATGGAACATAACGAATTCTACAGAAACGCCCATGGGTCCCGTGTTTGATCGTCGATGGGAAGGTTCGATTTTGGCGGATCGATCGATATTAGGAAAATATATATGTAGTCTGAATTTAATATTTGAATTTGTAGGATTCGTAGAGTACAACAACTTTAATACACCGACTGAATACCGTTTTATGGGTAAAGTGAGAAAGTCGGGAGCATTTGCGGTCTCTATTCGAGGATCTCGAGACGCTCATATATTGCTTTGCGAGACTGAGAGTTACAAAACTCATTTATGTTACTGGATGATCATCGGTGGATGGGAGAACACTAAATCTGCGATTCGAAAATGTGCGAATGGCGTACCGAATTCACCCATGTATCTCACGAGCGATCCAACATGTGCTCCCTTAAGGGTTTCTTATATTGTAATTTCTTTCAAATTTCAATTACGCTCAAATATTTTCATTTCTAAATCACTTATTGCGAATGTACATATATTTCTTACTTGTAATACAGCATCAACCACTTTCCCGGACCGAATGGAGAACGTTTATTGTGACATGGAACGAGAACATGAGAAAAATATTATTGTACGATACAGAAAAATTGATTCTAACTTTCGAGGATACCGACAAGCAATCAAACTCGAATGTCAATTACAATCTGTTTATAAGCAGCAACGCCATAATACAATTTCGATTTCACACATGTAAGCGCCGAACGTGTGATTCGATTTAAACAACATGGGAAACTTTATAACTGAATAGATTGTATTCCAGACAATTTCATTCATACAAACAATCCGGAGGCGACCCTTACAAGTCCCGCATTCTTTCTAAGCGCCACAAGTCTTTGTATAGAAATGATTATTGGCTTGTGTGTAGAGTGTAAAATGGAACTGGCCTTAATAAATTCTTTGACGAAAAACAAGGAAGAAAGTTTAGCAATAATAAGTGGATCCACAGTAACCGCCGCTCATGGATTGGCCATGTGGCAATACATTCGAATAAATCGAACGATCTCGTCCAACTATGAAACGTATGTGGAAGTGAAAATGATCCCGATGCTGGATCGGACAAGTGCCAACCCATTGTGGGCTGTAGCAAATTTTCGCGAGTGTCCACCAATAGGTATGTTTGAAACTGATCAATGAAACTTCGATGAATTATATACAAGATGTCCTACCTAACATGAGCACCTTTAATATCTCACCTGTTTTTGACGATAGAAAAATACTATTTGGTTAGGAGGGACAAGAAGAAAATGTTTCTGATAAAGGTCACACTTTCGTTGGTCATTGGATTGGTTTTCACCTCAGCTACTACACTACGATGATAAAAATACATAGTCCCGTTTAAAAAAACATCGATGACGAAGTTTCGAAAAATATGACCTTGAGAAAAATTCTTTGCTTATCACAGCATTTTCCCCTTCCAATCTAATAATACTTTCCTCTCACATTTATTTCTATCATCAATACTAAATGAGATATTAAAATGCTCCCATCAGGTAGTACGATACCCCTGTGTACGAGAGAATCTGTAATAATTACGGTATCGTATTCGGGTATGTAGGTTCCGTGCGAATTGGTAGTATAGTAGCATCGCAAGATTACAATAATGGATTCTTTTGGCCGGATGTCACCTGCCAGAAACTCTTTTACAATGAAAGTATCGTCGTAAATGCGGCGCTGAATGCCGTGCGAAACGTAACATTCGGTATCTAATGGTTGATATTATTTCCGCGAATATCGTCGGTGCCAATAGTGATTCGTTTGTCCCCGTCGCAGATGACTTGGATTGCCCTGATGGAATGGTGGGACCGTACTGTTCCATCAGCTGTCAGAATCATTTGGGAAACGACGAAACCTGCCAGAATACTGTGATCTGCGAGAAAGCAGGTTGCACGTGTCCGCCCGGCTTCATCAATGGATATTGCAACAAACGTAAGAATTATCGCAGTAAATACGTGTAACAAAAGTTCTAAGATGCCTTGTTAAATAAACTTTATTTGCAGGTTGTTCTAGCAATCAGTATGGACACGATTGTAAATATACTTGCGGCTCGTGCAGGCAACACGGATGTAATTTTAGGAACGGAGATTGTGAAAATGGTTGCGATAATGATAGCGGATACAAAGTACCGCCTCTTTGTCAAATAGGTAGATAATCGTTGTGCACGATAAAAGAAATTCACCATGATTAAACGATAATCGTTTCTATATTCCACCTCCCAAGGTATTAATGGACCACCGCCACCGACAATTGATTTTATTAATGAGACTACCGTCCGTGTTGTTCTACCGATGAAAGATGAATACAAATTGGTACGGTGTGTTTACGAATTTTCTATACAGGTAATTCTAATAATGGCTAATAACGTAAATACCGCGAGATAACGGCTCTAATGGAATTTATGAGTTTGCCAGAAAGAAGGAGAGAGGAAAATTAATTATATAAGAGACAACGAAGTATCTGTAAATAGTACTGTCATTACTGGATACACCGATCGCTTACAACCTGGTGTTTCCTATCAAATTTGGTGCAATCTGCATGTCAACGATTACGGGAAAATTGATGGGAAATGGACGAACTTCACAACTAAATGCACACGTAAGGCATTATTATATGTAATTTTCAGTAAATGTAGAATCTGTTAATATAAAATAAATTTTTCAGCTTTCGACTTTGAAGTGGAACAGAGGAATACGAGCTTAATATTGAAGAAGAGTCCACAAACCGTATGTAATCAGCTTGATCCTCAGTAAATTACATTCTGAAAATACAATATATTGGTAAGAAGTGTTGATTTTCAGGACGCTCCGTACCCTTGCCCAGCCGAGTGGTACGATCTCGATTTCGAAAACGGTGAAACGCACGCAAAGATTACTAAGGGGATTCTGAGTCACTTGCCACACGAATTTGTAGGTTTGGAACCGTATACACCCTATAATATCACAATCAGTAAAGGGTCGAAGACATATTTTTCTCAAGCAATCCGAACTCTCGAAGCAGGTGAATAGAGACTGAATATCATGCAACCAGCTTCGAATGTTTCAATTGACTAGGCGTTTGAAATAGCTGTTCACATTTAACAGCACCGACTGCCGTGAGAAAGATTCAACTGGACTGGATTTCAAACAAAGAAGTGACAATAATATGGGGCCGTCCTGGGCGTGCAAATGGAATCATAAAGAAATACGAAATTACAATGCAGGTAATGAAATAGGCAAAAGCAAGAAACAATGGATGTATAGAAATAATTGTATTATAATTCTTAGATCGCAGAGTATTATGGTTGCAACGTTCTGGGCAGAAATTTTCCAAAGAAGAATCGTACATTATTCAGTGAGGTCACCAGCATAAGATACCCAGACCTTACTCCGTATGCTACATATATTGTATTCATATCGGCCTGTACTTCTTACTGTGGCCCCGTCCAAAAATACACGTTTCAGACCCCAGAATCTGGTAAGCCAGTGTCAAAACTTTTTACCAAACAAACGTTTTCATTGAATAACCCACGAATTCACTCTGTAGAAATTCCGACTGAAACATTTAGCAATTTACGACAACAGAACTATTGGCTAACGTGGGATCCACCGAACGATTGCACCACAATTTCTGGTCCATTGTACTCGAGAATTATCATTAACGGTATCAGCGAATCCGTTATGAATTTGAGTGTTACGAAACAAACTTGGAATCAGAGAATCGATTGCGAACCGTTCCTTTCCGGTGCGGAAACGTACGAGGCACAGGTTTATGTTATCAGAGGTTACAATAAAAGCCACAACGAATTGCTTTCTCAAAGAATCACTTTCACCACCCCGCCAAAAGGTACGAAACGTTTCACGATTTCGCGATCGACAAGACTTTTTAAATCGCTAACCACTATTTTATTTGTAACAGCCCCGCCACCCGTTGAAGAACTAGAAATATATGAACACGATACTAGGAATAACATCATTTACTTAAGATGGAAAAAACCGAAAGTACCCACCAACGGGAAAATAGGGCATTACATCGTGAAAAATAAGAGACGTACTTTATTGATAGTATTACCAACGGAATATTGCGATCTTTGGGATCGAGGCGGTTATCTCTGCGCGAAAATAGAGTATTTCAGGTCAACGATAAGACAAATTTCGGTGAGCAAAGAATAGAATCTGCTATTTAAACAACACTATTAATCTGAATTTACAGGTTTCAGCTGTAAATGTAAATGTTTCTACACCCGGCGACGCAGTAGACCTGTCAGTTACTGTCGATAAAAACCCGCTGATGCCTGAAATTTTTCACGTTGAGGCCCTCGCGAAAGGTGTCGTGAACGTAACCTGGTCACATCCGTGGAGAACAGGTAGAGGGCTTGAGACATTTCTGATCAATATACAAATGATATCGTCAAACCTCAGAACACAAAGTACCGCATCACAGTACAATATATACGCCCAGTATTTCGTTGAAAAATACCAGGTTTGGTACAACTATCAGTTATACTTATTGCCATCATCCACTTACAAGATCACGATTTTCGCCAAGACGATCGATCAGACTTATAGTGGAGAAAAATCAACGATAGTGGAAACACCTCTGGCAATGGAATTTGAGAGTGAACCAACATTCGAAGTAAGTGCAGCAGATTCAACGGTACTGTTGCACATACCTGTTGTTCTAAACGATACAAAAAATAGTATAACGTATGTAGCTGTGGAAGGACCACATCCCTGTAACAATCACGCGAAATTGAATACTTTTCTTTCCGCGAAAGCGGGTATCAAAGATCACGATATGTCGTGGCGAGCCGCCATGTTTTCGGTCAGTATCTCTGAATAAAATTGTTAATTGTTATTTAATAAAATCATTTATTGTTATATGTATAATCGTGAGAAACACGTTTTCTATGGGATAGACGGACAAATTCGCTGGTAAAACATTCGTGGTAGGCGACAATAAGATCTACGACGGTAGCATAAACTGCCCGTTGAAGTCGCAGGAATCCTATGTGGTAGCGGTTATTTTGCAAACCGAGGAAGAATCGATGAACAGTCAGTTCAGCGCCGTGAAAACAATGTCGATACAAATCGGCGAGGTACCGAAGCGACACGACGAAGCGTGGCTCGTTCCCACCGCAGTAATTCTCGTCGTTTCAGTTGCGGGTTTCTACTATTATCGAAGGTACAGATGATTTTAATGATAATCAGTAAAGTTAATGTAATGTGAATTCCTTAATTTATCGCGTATTCGACAGGAGAAAAAGGGAACCACTGAAAAACGTGATTCTTCAGGAAAACATGGCATTGCCACAGACAACGGAAAATCGCGACGACATAGCGTCGTTAAATTCCAATCGAATTTTATGCACCACGCCTATACCTCCGAAGAAAGAGTGTTTATTAAGCGCTAGCACGTCCGTACAAAATTTTCCAGTGCCTGCGAACGAATTTGATGGGAAAGAGGAAAGAACGTCTCTGGTACATGTGAAGGATTTCGAAGATTACGTGAAACATGCCAATGATTCTGGACTCCTCGAGAAGCAATACAATGTAAGTATTTCTTATTCATAAGTGAACAATTTCGTTATTAATGTTAACGATTATTTAATATTTCGAAAGATACTGCCCAGAGGACAAACGAAACCATGGGATTACGGGAAGCTACCACAAAACAAACCAAAGAATCGGTACGGAAATCTCATAGCATGTACGTAGAAGTTTCCCTTTAACGTTTCAATAACCTCAGTGGACTTGATACATTTAGTCATATTTCATAGACGATGAGAATCGTGTGATACTGGAGAAACTTCCGCAAGAGCCTCACTCCGATTACATAAACGCTAATTACATCGACGGTTACAAGAAAGAAAAGTGTTACATAGCCACCCAAGGGCCGAAACCGAATACAGTGAACGACTTCTGGAGGATGATCTGGCAGGAAGAGACTCTTATCATTTGCATGCTGGCTAATGTGGTTGAGACTGGAAAGGTTTGAGTTCTCCCAATGTTACGAAACTACCTAAATTCGATAGAATGATGGACGATAAAACGTATTTTAATAGACGAAATGTGAACAATATTGGCCAGACATTGGAAAGAAAAAGAAGTACGGCGATCTACTGGTGTTCAACGCTAAACACACTGTATTCGCAGATTATACATTCCGTGTACTCCACGTGACACGCGACGAAGAGACCCGTAAGGTAGCCAATCTCACTAAAGATCAATTCAAGCGAATCAGCGAATTATTCATCTCGAATGGCGTTTAAAAATTAGGTCGAGCATTTGCATTACACAGCATGGCCAGACCACGGTGTGCCGTTCTCCACGCATTCTGTAGTGACGTATTTAAAGAAGCTCTTGGCAACGTCACCCGGAAACGGACCTGTGGTGGTTCATTGTAGCGCAGGCGTCGGCAGAACTGGAACTATAATTTTGTGCGATATTTGTCTGCGGCGGGCTGCCGCCGAGAAGGTAAAAAGAATTCTCAAAAAACAAAAACCATTCCCAAAATGTCCAAAAGAATACTTGAAAATGTCTCCAGGTAGTCGACGTGTTCGCTGAAACAGAATCGATCAGAAGTCAAAGGGCTAACATGGTCGATACCAAACAGCAATATGTCCTAGCTCATTTAACTCTAGTAGAGTGTCTACTTTCGATTTCAACGTCACTGCCATGCGATGAAACTCTACCGTCCAGGATTACAGAGCTGAAAAAACAATTGACGATTCAACAACAAAGGTAATGTATCTATCCGCCTAGAAAGACGGGATTCGAATACTTAATCGACATATAAAGGGAACAAAATTTATCAGTTTGGAAAAGGGGACCTGGCAAGACGAAGCCCTCAGGCCATCGACCATTCAAGTGTCACTGTCAGAACGCAACCTTGCCAAACACAGATTCCCAGAATTGGCTTCAGGTTCAGAATGAAACATCTCTCTACGATTTCCACCTGTTCCGAAGACGCGACTGCACTAACGCAATGATTCTTCTTTGCAGTGAAAGTGAACAGAGTGTATTTGAAAAGATATCCGCCGACAGATGAGTACAGCGATTACATATGCGCTGTGCCTGTGGATGGTGTCAGATTACAGAATCAGTATTTTGCAACGCAACTGCCGTTACCTGGTACTTTGGGCGATTTTTGGAGACTGGTGGCCGAATACAAAGTCGAATTGATCGTCATGCTGCAACCACCTGATCCCGAGGACACGGTCAGCGAATTTCTATAGTTTATACGAACCAATATCCATCCGGTATATTGCAGAATTTATTATTTTCCAGACTTGTTGCCCGATCGTTCCATGTGACTTTTCGATAGATACGAATATTCCACGACGCAGAAATTGATTCTCGTCGATAATACAACGGTAAGCAAACGAATTCGTGATCGACTGTCGATTCTACCGATTGAGTATATTGCATTTCAGAAACCAGTTGCAGAGCAACAAGTAACAATTTTATCCTGTACGGAATGGAAAGCTGGCAGAAAGCAGAATCCACCGACGACGATTGCTTTAGTGACACTGTGGCAAGCCACAGAGAGAATCGCGAGGGGAGATGAACCGACTGTCGTTCTCTGCCAGTAAGATTTCATAAAGTTCTCTAAAGAAATCAATTAGCGTGATGCTCATTAAAGTGTTCCTGTGTTCATTTAGCGACGGTGTAACTGCATGTGGACTTTATTTAGCCTTATGTTTCCTCTTGGAAAGAATGGCAGTGGAACGAGAGTGCGATGTATGCTTATCTATCCGCGCAGTTAGACGATCGAGAGAGGATTTCGTAGAAAGTTTGGTAAGCCTGATATCGAATTACCGATATATTAATAAATATCCTGTACATTCAAATTCATTTATACCCCCGTTGTCATTGCAGGAACAATTGGAATATTTGTACGACGCTGCGATAACGTATTTGAAGTACTTCGAAACGTATGCAAACTTCACTTGAATAATCCCGCCCTTCGTCGATCAGTCGGTTTGTAGTGTGAATCGATTCGAATCGATATTCGAACTGAGACGGCTTTCTCGATATGTGTGTCGCCCGACCCATCAATTATACCGTTACGTAATTAATACTGACTTACCTGGCTCTCGATTTTCCCGTTTTCCCGTGCTTTCCACAGACACAAGGCAAACAACTTTCATTCCCACGAACGTTATCGTGATTTATCATAATTACATACAGCATTGACCTCGCTGTATAGTGATTCCCCTAACCCCCCTCCCTTCCCTGCATTTTTCATATCTGCACTTCATACGAAGAAGCGTCTTCGTCTCGTTAAGTAATCGTAATAACGGTTAACAGGAGCATAAAAGTTTCATGTCGACGTTTAATCATCGATCTCAATGTAGGAGAGATCATTTACAATGCGGACAGTTAATTCAAATGGTACTCACCGAACGCCGAAAGCAGCGACGCCATTAGCTATATGATTTTCGCAGGAATTTTCGCCGGGCGGAACCATTTCTTCTTTGACGACATATCAAACACTCCGATCGAAACACTTAAATAAAATAAAATTCGCCGGTTTTAGCAACCATCAAAAGTTGATACTCGGTTCAAATTCAAATACGTGTCCAATGAAAGCAGTATTATAGCATACGGAATTCGAATTGGACTGTAACGAATTTGAACGGAGCATGAAAACGCGGAACACGCGAATTGGAACGACCGTTAGAACTCCGGTCTACCCAGACAAAAAAAGTATTCATTACAAATATGATATTGAATATTAAGTTTTCCGTGAAACGGCGATCCATATTAAAGAACTTTGGGAACTTTTTGGAATAGTATCGGAAGAAATTACTATGCATTAACTATCGAATTTGGCGCGTAAGTGTGATACGTTTAATTGCGTTACGCGCGTAAGAAGTTCAACGAACGGGATACTTACATTTCGCATGATTTTCTGTTGCCTTGCATTCAGAAAAACCATCGATTGGCGTATTTTCTTGAAGTACGGCATCGGTAGATACGACGAGTCGTTAACGGGATTGAATAATTACATTTTACGAAAGAAGAAAAGAAAAAGAAACTGCGCGTACCGCGGGCGTGCTTCCCTTCCTCCAGTCCGCGAGCTTGTGCCGTTGACCGTCAGAGGGTGTGAACGTCGCTTCGATAACTCGCAAACTCGAAAGGTATAAGTCGACCTCCTCTAAACGTCCATCTCCGCGGATATTTTCACGTGTGTTTTCGTCGTGTTCGTGTGTCGGTTGATCGAGTGCGGTGTATCCAGAGATTTCGCAAAAGGTGTGGCTGACAGGAACGGTTTTTTCCTTCGATTGTCGGTAACGGGCAGAGTCTAGCAAGAGGAACGTGGCGTAAAGAAAGTGCATTCTCACAGCAGCAGGTAAGAAATTTTCATTGCTTCCGATGTTGCGCCCGTAAAGAAAGAGCAAACACGTGTACTTCATATGTCACGTTCATGTTCCACATTTGTCTCACAACGCCGATTGTCTCCTCCCTCGATCGAGATTGTTTGTTTTGTTTGACAAGTTGCGGGTCACGCGTGTCAGGTCTCGTTTCAAGGCCAGGGAAGACATATTGGCGCGTGAACTGGACCTATTGAAAACGCGAATCGCTCCGACAGAACGAAAACACGATTTTTCGATCTGCCAGTGCATATATACGACTTTAAATCGGTTGCATCTGTCACTCGGTTCGCAGAGTGCATTCGCCTGACGAGTTTACGTTTGCGTGTGCTGCGTCACTCGACTCGTTTGTTGTTCCTTTTCTATTATATAAGGAACACGCTTTGCACGAATGTGCCACCACCATCTTGGCGGACGCGGCGCAGCGGGAAATTTGATTCGTGAGAATGACATTCTATACCGATACAATCGTTCTAATACAGTTTCGATTAGGTTTTGTAAACAATAGTAAAGACATTGTTAAAACATTTGACGTTGTACATGATAAAATTCCTTTCGTGATTACATTTGGAGAAGTTACAACATATTCAATAATTAGTTGACATCAAATTTTACTGTTTGTGTTTTTTGAGAATGTATACTGAAGTTCTGATTCGTTTAATGACCAGCTTTAACAATAACCCCGTATTCACGGTATGCCATTACGCTATGAACGTTTTATAATTTAATCTGTCATGTCCACTCATTTATCCATTCACAGACCATCCGACCGTGGCATATTTTCCTCCCGCTGGCTAATACGCTTTAAGAAGTCACTTCCTAACCAGCGTCATTAAATCGCGTTTTCATTACTAATGAAACTTCTCGTTTAAAATACAATATAAAATTTAACAATCCGTCGTATTGGATACTTGAGTAATTGTTCCGTAGGCTGTCTTAACTTTCTCTCGAAACACTGATGTTCCAAAGTATATTCGACCCAGTTGGACGGCGACAGCTTCAATAAACTTACTTTACGTGATATCTTGGTATCTGATAATGGATACGATAGTATTGTGTTCACAGATATTTCCCCAATATCATTTAGATTTTGTGAATCCCAGAAATTCTGTTCCGAAAGTAATAGATCATTCCTTGTATAGAACACTTAGTATTTCATAAATTTTCTGAATCGTTTAAAGCCACAGAATATAGTTCGTATATGTGTATAATCATACAATCTGTTAAACGGGAATTTGAACGTTAATAGTATTCGTGCATTGCGTTATTGTTTCGCGCCACAACGATCGAGTTTCGATTTTATTGAAAAGCGATCACAGCTTTAGCGGCATGGCAACAAAGGCCTAACTCCTTCTGTCCGCGAATCGACGTCGTACAATTGCGCCTAACTCCGACAATCGATCCGACCGTGGCCCAACTTGACAGCAATTTAAAATCGCTTCTCCTGCGTACCGTATCAAGTGCACCGGCCACGAGCAAAGATTCTCCCGCGAAGCGCCACTCACCGATGATTCTTCCGTCACTTTTGCGGATGTAAACGGCATACCGTGTTTCCTCCACGAGTGACGAGCGAGAAAGTGCCCCGAGCGGATCATTAACGAACAGCTTTCGCTGTGATTTTACGTCGTCGTTCGAAGTCGGTCCCCGTCAAAGCTGACGATGAAACGTGAAGATGAAATACTAGATAATGTTCAATAAACACCCCATCAAACCTGTTACGTACCGTGATCTTCGAATAGAAGAAGATAAATTCATGGACAAAGATGGTTGAACGTAAAGTGAAGGCACCGTCTTTTCAGGGAATATGGCGATTATCTCGCCGAAACGTGCCAAGGAGGACAAAACGGAAACCATGACGCGAAGCTGGACAGCGAAACCGATTTTAAGCTCGGAGTTCACGAACGATCCACCTCTGGAAGACATCTACGTGGGTCTACTCCGACAGAAGAAGGATATTTCGACAGCTATTCAGACTATATCGTCTATCTTGCCAGGACTTAGTCATCTGAAACGTTGCTCCTCGAATAAACTTCTATTGGCACCTCTGAAATCTTTAGATCTCCTAGCAAAATCGGAAGAATCGTCATCAGAAGAACGTACTTTGACCCAAGACGAGCTAAAGGCCGTGTTAAAGAACAGAGAGTTTGATCTAACTTTATTGGAGGATGATTTCCAAATAATAAAGATACCAAGTATACCCGCAAAAACAAAAGCTCAGGCAGCGCTAGCCTCGAAAATATGGCCATTAAATTTCCACCCAGATCCTAACATCGAAAGACTCATCGACGGTTCGATTTTCACAGAGCACCAGTTGGAACAAATCGAAAGATACATGAAAGTCGCAGTGGAAGCGGCCAGGTTAGAAGCTATTGGTACAAAGAACTGTAACGGTAGTGCAGTAATCGTCGATCCGGAAGACGGAAGAATCCTGGCAATATCCGCGTCGAGAATCAATCAACACCCGATGTGGCACGCAGCTATGCTGGCGGTGGACCTTGTCGCTAAACTCCAGGGTGGTGGTGCTTGGAAGTTGGACGAGAAACTCGAGAAAAATCTAACCGAATCAGAAGCTTCAAATCCCACCGATAAAAGGGGCAACGAATACTATGCAGCGAGAGAAAAAAGGATCAAAAGAATATATATCGAGCAAGCACCTCTTTGTTATCCAGAATCATTGTCCACTATTCGTTTACCAAAAGAAGAGCCTCTGAAGTCGACCGTCGTTCAACGAGGAAGAAGAAACAATGTCTCCAAAACGATATACTTAGAGGAATCGGAAAAGACCGGGGAGGATATCGAGAAATGCGGACCTTATCTCTGCACAGGATACTGGACCTTTCTGCTCAGAGAACCTTGTCCCCTCTGTGCGATGGCTCTAGTGCACTCAAGAGTATCGAGGATATTTTACGGCGTATCGAATGAATATACGGGAATATTAGGTTCCAGGGCTGTTTTACACGCTGTGCCAGGGTTGAATCATCGTTACCAAGTTTGGAGCGACGTCCTGGAAGAAGAATGCAGACAAGCATTCGATGAAATCCAGCATAGAAACGTGGATTGACTTACTAGACGTTTTTAATCACAATTGATCGTAATTTTCTAACGACAGATTCAACTAGAAAATTCAGAGAAACTATAATTGTACCGACAAACGTTCCTACACACACCACTTGCATTTTGTAAAAATCAAACGGAGGATGATACGAGTTATTCGGTTCGTTTGAATGGAGAACGTAATTGATGCTGCATGATTTATCGATTTCCTAGCGATGGTACACGCGAGAGATACAGCACGTACAATCATGAAGTCGACCGGCGATGCTGCGGCGTAGTTGTAACTACCGGTTTACAATTTCAATCGGAGTCAGGCGGTGCACAGGAGATGTTACACGTGGTTGGACCGTGTGATCGCCTATTATAAGGCAGATATACGTACGACCTTGATGTCTTGGTATAATTTGCGGGAATAGAGATATGTGTCCGGGTCCGCAGTCATTTCACGAGGCGAGTTAGCACTTATACTCCCCGTTACACAATGACGCATTGCCCCGGTCGAGGATTGAGAAAATCATTTTCGTAAATTCGTATCGTCGGTGTCGTTTCAATTAAACAAACTTAAACGACACTCTGGTCGCACTGTAAATTTCCTGGCTGAGACCAGTATAAGAATTCTTAAACGCTGATCAACGGTCGGATCAGGACAAGCAACGTGCAGTTTTAATTAATCAAGACGGTTAAAAGCATCGCGTCAGAAGTAAAAAATATCCACGCGACTATATTCAAACGACGCTCGAGATCATCGAAGCTGGAATTGTCGACGTAACCTGCACGGCGCCGCGGTATAAAAAAAAAAAAAAATCATTTATTCTCTCTGCTGTCGACGCGTGTCTACGACGGGCGAAATCTAAAGTGACGGGCATTGCCGTCCCGTGGAGGAGCGTCGGACGAATCAATGACACCGAAAGTTAATTCTATTAGGTATCCACGCGAGTCGATCGGTCTGATCCGAAAGTGTTACCCCTGCAAAACGTACAGGCTGACGGTCACGCGAGTAAATAACCTCGTTTGTTTGAAGAGGAGACGACCGGTGCATGCGTATTATATTCGACGGCAAAGAGACAAGACCGCTAGGCAATTCCACGTCGTGGACCGAAGTGGTCGTTGATCCCCGCGGAAACAGCTCGAAACATCGCCGAAGGCTTCCTACGGATTCCTCTTCTCGCGACGGGCAACGTGCAAGAATCCATCCCGACCGACACACACCAGCTCCGGTTCTTGGCGTCTGCGATCTTTCCTGTACATGGCACACGGACACGGTTTAATTTGTGTAGAAACGAGTAGCGCGTATAACAATGACCTCGCGGATTAACATCAATCAGCGAAACTTCAGACGTCTAACCCCGTTGGTCTGGTCGGCTTTTGCCGGACGGATGTGCGCGCAGAGACGCGGTGAACGCGGGAAGATGCTCGGGAGAGAATGATGGTAAAGAGAGTTATGAAACAAGAAGGCGAAAAGAAGATTCCGTTTTGCTTGGTCAGGATGGATGGCGCTTGGATGTACTTCTTGGAGAATGCATGAGAACCGTACCAATGTGATCTTATCCTGTTGTTAGTAGTATATCGAATTAGACGCCGATGATTGTTTGTTTAGAATTCATCTGTTAACACGATTTGTAATAAATGTGGATGTTGTAAGAGTTGATTGAGGTCCTATAGAAAGTTTCTTAGCTGTTGTCGTCGGGTCGGCGCGTACAGATGTTCGTACATGAATTTTATTGTTTCAGGTTCTGCTTCAGCGATATTAGTTAGGCACGTCGAATTTCTCGGGGCAAAGGTGTTAACGGCATTGTAAACAGCAACCTTGTAGCCTTTTGAGGATCGCCGGTAAAGAGCAATCTACGCGTTGGTTCGACGGCAATAAAAAAATATATGGTTGATCGCGTCCCTCGTGATGTTCCATCGGAAATAGGCTAGAATTTTTAATCGGACACACCTTCGTGGACCGTCTAGAAGCTGCACCGTGGACCGCCGCTAAACAGTTGTTCACCATCCTTCGTTGAAACAACGGGGGCACGTGGCTTCGATAACCGTAACCCGGAACACACGCATCAGTATCGTATCTTTTTTTCGACGAGCCACAGCTCGTTTCGTTTGCGATCGAAGAACCGACAACGGGAAGGATACAACGATATACCCGGTGCAAACACGTTTCGTTTGCAAACGAAAAAACGCGCGTTGCCACGAAAGATAACATCTCTATAATAATTAATCCACGTGGCAAACAGACAGCTTATACGACGCGACTGTTTTTCAAGTCGACGTAAACGTCGTCATCGTCATCCTCTCAGATATCAGTCAGGACGCTACTCGGTCTGGAATCTTTTGAAAGAAATTCCGTAAGTTTAATTGGGTATGTCGAACGGTTCGACGACATAGTAATTGTTTAATTAAAAAAAAAAAAACAAATAACAAGAAGGGGCAACGGGTCAGGTATTAATCAGAATTCGAATTCAGTGCGTAACTGTATACAGGACGATTCTACGAGGTAAACCTAGTCACATTTTGCTCATCAGCACTGAGTGGTTCCAATTGACGGTCGGGTCGACCCTCCAGCGTAGACACTATTGGTCAGCCTTTTAATACCGGCGGTCGTGACTGGATCAGATACCCAGATCGTTCTTAGACAGAAGACATCGCCGGAGCATTCGGTTCGAAACTTTTAACGTCGCCAGTGTCGCGCAGTTTGCTGTCCACGGTCGTGTTCTTAAGAACTAGAGGGATCCAAGAGACATATCCGCCTGTTCTGTTTATCGGAGTTGATTTAAGTCGGTCAACGAGTAGCAGCGAGCCCGCGAGAAGAAGCATCAAGGCGGTACAACCCGCGAGGGAAATAAACCTCTGGAAGTAGGAAAATAAAAAATAAGTCGATGCATATGGCCTCGAACGCAATCAGTCACGCAGCACAAGATTTCCTTTGGTGAATTGTTCCGCCGACGAAGAACACCACTTGCAAACAACGTTCTTCCGTTCGAGAAACTTTCCTTGTACGCGGATCGAACACACATCGCTCTGCCAGTTTTCTTCAAAAGAGACAGTTTTATCGAGTACAGCTGTACGTTTGATAACACACGATAAGCAAGAGGTCTCGAATAACACCTACAGTCTCGTTTACCAATTGGATGGCTCATGTTTATTGGTTGTTGCTCTTTGAGAGATCTTGATTGTTACGTCTGGCTTGGAAGAACCGAAGGAACCGTTTGGAGAAAGTAATTTAGACAGTTTCGTAAGAAGATACCGAAAAAATTCATTCGGTCCGATCAAGAGGAATCTGTTTCTGGGTGATCTTTTTCGAAAGTGGTCCCCTCTCCGTTCGTCGTCGTAAGGACTTTTGAGGAACATCGAAGAACGATACGCCCACACGATTTGGTTTTACGGTGCGAAGCCTCGTTTTTCACTTCTGGATCAAGTTTATATTTCCATCGGCACCATGGAACGAAGGATTCTGAAAATGTGGTGACGACGTGCCAGGCGAAGGCCTTCGATTATCAAGACACTATCGAGTGTGTGAGCCATAGTCGTTAGAAAACAATCAAGATATATTTCAAGTGTCTAGTGACACACGCAAGAGAGCAATATTTCGTCGCCATAGTAAAAAAAAGAAAAAGGAAAAATAAAATACTAAACACAAACATTCCAAGGATTAACAGAAAAGTTTTTTTTTTCTCAAAACATCGAGACTAAAGTTTCTTGTTCGATCCCGTTAGGAAGTGATAACGAAGTACGGATTTTCATTTCGCGAGATTTCGTGCCGGAAAAGGATCGCAAGGGTAACGGCCGATAGCAGAGAGAAGAGCAACACCGGCATCCTTTTCTGCGACTTCACACGTGTCCACGGAAAAATCTCAACAAGATGCGTTGCAGCCAAGGCGTGGCGATGGTATTCGAGGACGCGTTCGTCGTCTTTTCGCGATTTTTGTCCCTCAAGTCGCGGGGTTGCGCACTCTTGGAGACCCATCGGCAGCGCGAGACAACAGGCATCAAGAAATTGTACAACAGTTTCTTCGTGATGTTCTAAGGATAACTCCCCAACCGTTTCGCGAAATAATTTCGGCTCTTAGTTGACGGTTAGTCGAGTGATGGTACGTGCATTCCCGGGGTCTTCGTGGGTCCAGCAGAAGAATACACGGAGATCGCACGAAAAAGGAGGACGTTTTGGTTAGACGAAAGCTAGACAAAGAAAATCGAAACCGAGGAGGAAATTGTGAGAGAACGACCGAAAGAGAGGGGAAAAAAACACTGGATAAAATTAAATCAGCCACAGAATGTACAAACGCGGTTAGAAGTAGCAAAAAGAGAAGTCCCCAAGTCTTGGTTGAAAACCCCCGAAATCTCATCGTGGATGATCGTGTCGATGATCACCATCGAAACCCGGACTTATCGCCTTCTCTTTCGAATAAACCTCTACCAAAGCGTTCTCCGAACGAATCTTCAAGCACTCGAGCAACAGGTACAAGTGGAATCGTAATCAGGATCGAAACAATTCATGCTCCCGAGGGTAGTGTAACGGAAGGAAAAAGAAACGAACCCTGGTAGCGAGTGCTTCGAGATTTTAAGGCCGTTGAATGGAGCTCCAATTCATCATGGACGGCGCTGCAGATGCTATGAACGGGACAATATGGTTTCCTAACACGCCGTCGCCACCGTACGAGCAACAGTCCCCGGTTCGTCAAAACAGATGCGACCCCATCGCTACTCAACATGTAAGTATTGTTCCGTTTAATTATAATGCCTCTCCGAGCTATACTGACTTTAAGTGTGACTCTCTCAGTTGATATGCTGTATGATACCATTGAGGGTACAAGCCACTAACTGTGTCCTTTGCTACTTCCTCAGAGCTCTACTTATTTCGTCCCATTCACTTTCTTTTACCATACTTCTGACATACATTTTTGTACCTCCTTTGAAGGCTCCCCGACACTGGACATTAAATATTTCATAAACCAATGGCCATATGCGGCTGAAACAAATATCACTAAATTCTGAATTCCAAGCTCCATCACTGTGCTAAATTTCATTAAAGAGTCAGCGTTACACCTAGGGACCTTCCCTTTCCCCATTCAAACCCTGGCTGTTTTCACGAAGTCACTATAGCTCGAAGAAGCACAAAACATACACTTCTAAGATATTGTCTCGCTGACGTGCTTGTCTTCATTAGCTTCCTGAAAGAGACAATTCCAAAACGCTAGTATTAACTGTTCGTTTAGGCACTGGATCCCCTCCCTTTGTCCTTCCTCGGTCCCCTCATCTATTGGTCGGCCCCAGAAAAACTTTCTAAAATTTTCGAAATCGAGAACAACGGCAAATGGCCAACCCCGTGAGTGAACAAGGCCGAATCGGTCGAGTTCCACGCGATTCGTCGTCCCCGCGAACTGACGGCGAATGAATCGTTTTATAGGCGTCAATGGGATATCACAGTCCACAAAATTGTTTATGGCAGGACAAGTACAACTCACCGAAGGACTCGCCGGAGGACGGGGTCCAGATATGCTCGAGCAACGGATCGCCACAGCACTTAAGCCCATCGTCCGAGAACACACCGAATTGCCAGCAGAGTACCCTGAAACGACGAGCCGGGGAGCCGTTGCAACAGATCACCGAACTCGAGAAAAAGCACGCTAGGAGAGATGGTTAGTATTAGTAAAAATTCTCCATCGTGGATGTCTCCTGTTTTGTTCCACTAAGAAACAACGCGTACATTATCTCTTGGTCTTTACGAGGGTTTAAAGTTCATCGAATGTTCTAATAACCTGAATCATTCGGAAAGTGCATTTCGTCTGGTCCAATCGTTAACATTCATAGTCTGTCTATTCGCTCGAACAGAATGAGTCGTAAAAATTCTTCTGGTATCGACTGATTCCTGTTCCTTTGTTCGATGGATTCTCGATGAATATTCGCACCATTGAATTGCCCTGCTACCATCGCTATCGTGCAGCTTTCTGTGTAGATATATCGTACTAAAGGTCGTGTCCAAACGACCCCAGATACACAGTCGTAGCCACGACAATTTTCATACGCTTACCTTACACGCTTCTGTAACAAAATTTTTCCGTTAGTCCATTAATCGACTGGATATTGATACACTTTATATTTGAACGTTCACGAAACTTCTATCAGCCGCCGCGTTGTCGAGTTTGGTGGCGTTATTGTTGCATTTCACGAGAGGTTAGTTAATCGGAATGAAAATAAAGACATCCCATAACGATCGTGTCCATCGACACAGAATGATCCTTCTTCTCGCGACAAAGTAGCGAAATATCGGGAAGATATCACACAGTTGATACTGCTTCGAACATCTCACCGAGACTGATCTATGAGTAGCATCCAACTCGCTATGTTCGACGCCTTTTTGACCACGTGGTCACGGAAACTGATAACTCCCGAGTACACAATGTATCGCAGATTAAGTTCGCCCCGAAGAAAGACAGAGAGGAGACCGCGATACTAGTCCTTCGTCCGAGAGAAACTAGGCGGTGGTGCTCTCGCGTCTACGGTTTTCGATTTTCGGTGTTGTTCCTTCTCGTGGTCCCTTCCTTTTAGTTCACGTTTGTAGACAAGAATGAAGTGGTGCGAAGTCGATAGCTCCAAGCTACCGTTGCTACAGAACCGACGATATTCACCGATAGCTTCGAAGGACCGACGAAGGAACACGGTCACAACGTTACAGGGTGCAAAGTCAAGAATAGGGGCGATGCACCATCAGTTCTACATCAATTATGCGAATGCACAAGGTGCGATAGGAGACAAATTTAGTCGACGTGGGGATTCGAAAATGTGCACAATAGATTAGTCCTTGTAGAATTAAGTGATTGCTAGATTTTCATAAGCTTCTGTTTACTTGTAGCATACATGCAACTTAAACGTTTCGTCCGTAGGATCTGTGGGAAGTAATGGTTCCGGACAGGGTTGGTCGACCCAAGTGGAAGAACTGGCAGAACACCTCGCCGCTGATTTCGATGGATCTTTGTCAGCACTTGCAGCATCGGATCTCGCGACAGCCGTCGCCTCATATAACATGAGGTAACTAGAATTGTTTCATTGGGACCAATGTCTGGTACGAGAATGTGCAATTTATCACGAAACAGCTACGACACAGTGGCTCTTATTGGAGTTCAACCGATAGTCGATCACGAAGGGATTCTGTCTCTCCGAGCAAGCCGATGCCGATAAAGTAGGTTTCCTCAGTTGATCCGAGAGCTTCTAGCGCGTTGGATCGAATCTCGATTAAAACGTGCCGCAACGAAGAGTAGTGGGAACGTAGCGTGTGGCGAGCGTGTAAAACCGGTTCGAACCAGCCACAGTTGTCGGTGTTTTGTCGCTTGGACGGCGTGCGCTGGGAAATCACACGCTGGGCACCAGACGCGTATACGCTTCACCGAGTGTTCGACCGTACTGAAAGAGACCACGTGCGTTTCCATTCCGAAACCAATTGACGAAATTCGTCAAAGGAGAGTACCTACGTCCGATTCCCGTTAACACGCGCGAAACTCACGTATCGCTCCGATACAATCGAAAAAGTGAACTTTATTCCACGGATCTTTTGCCCTGAATCAACCGAATCTATTTGTATACATCTAGAAAGACTCTCTATAAGTATATGATTTGATTTCGTTCCGCAAAAAGAAACTCCTTAGCGGACCGTCACCGTGCAATCTTAGATGGTCACGTTCACGTCTTATCGCGTCTGTTTTTTCGCGGCGTTTGCGCGCCAAACGATCGCCTCTCGACCACTGTCCTCAGTGATAAAGTCGTGGAGTAACGATTAACAAGTTCATTGTAACATCGCTGCCTACACGACCAGCAAAAAAAATATTTCAAAGTGACGTACGTATCGGGGCCGTCGCCCCCCAGAAGTATCTCAGATCAGTGTGACAGAATGTTGCTCGAGCACCTCTCGCCCCGTCTCGATAACAGACGGTAATCCCACGTGTGAGCACGAGATAAGAGATACGGAATCAGCTGACGATCGACGACCACGTGGCACCGTGTGTAGGTTCACTCGTGGTTTTGAATATTACCCGAGTTTTGGTGGACGATTTATGAATGAAAAATCGCGAGTAACACTGATATCGTGACACAGGACCATTGGGGACCGATCCGTGAAGATAGTCCGCGTGCACCGGTTTATTCTTGGCGAATTTCCGTCCGCTGCGGTGAATCACTTTCCACTTTCTAGCCGTTCTTCCTATTCAGACGACACACGAGTTGTTTCTTGGCGTGCACGTGTGACAAATAGCTCGGTGAAATTCGTGACGAAAAAGGAACACGTGCTTTGATACTCGAGAACGATCGTTGACCAGGTAGTGTCCGCTAGTTGTGTTACGTAGTGTTATCGGAATTGTAAATCCTAATGTTTCCGAGAAAGAAGAATCGCCCGTGACATTTGAACAGAATCATGCACCAATATTTGAAAAGTAGGTGAGTTGTAAACTAAGGCTCATTGACTTTTGTTTTTCGATTCGCTCGAAAGACAATTTTGGAAACAATTTTGAAAGACATATTTACGATCACGTCTTATCCCCGGTGTTTCGAGTGTGGCTGATATTAATTTCGCTGCACTGGTGAACCGGTACGTTCCGGTTACGGTTGACCTTAGTGACTCAATCCTTATCAAAGCGGTTCTCAAACTATTTTCCACGTTCCAACGTCTTAGCAAATAAACGACATCGTAATCTTCGCGAGTTACCTGGCTGTTTAATTCATCTCATGCTGTTTCGTTACTTCGATTGTTTTTGTAGACTCTTATCTAAATAAAGTTTTCTTTACGTAACGAAGAAAACATACGATAAGTGTTTCTTTTTCTTAGTCGTTTGCGTAAAAATATGGTTTATGTAATCTTATTCTGGTACACGTCGGTTTTTACGTCCAGTTTTATCTTTACGTAAATTACGCGTAGTAAGTATGTATTTACACAAATCTGGCGACGTATGCATACATTCCATATCGTGTTTTGTTATGCTGCACAAACACATTTCATGAGAAACAAAAAATATTGTATCATCAATTATTAATGCGTATGTTCAAAGGTACTTGACGATACGACGTTTCGGAATCGTATTTTTCTTTTTTTTTTCTTTTTTTTTGCTCGCGATATACCATTAAATCGCGACATCGTCGAACAAAAACGCACGTTCACAAGTGCTCCGAATAGATTATTCTTGATCGTTGGTTGCGTCACCAGACTCTAATCAATAAACGTCGATAACGAAAACCGGAATCTAACGGTTATTATCGGTTGAAACATCCTCCGATCGAAGACCCAAATCATCTTCGATCTCTCGTTGTTCTCGAATAAAAATCGTGAGAGTGAATGCAACTGTTCTGAATAGGATCTATCGGATAATCGTAAAACGATCATCCTTCTCGGAAGACGAAGTTTAAGAACGCATGAGAAATCTATCATCGGTGAATCGTAATTGTAACGAGAATCTCGTTTACTTGCAGCGAAGCCTTGCTCGCCCTGCCATCGCTGACGGTCTTCAAGCAAGAAGCACCATCGCCCGAAAACCAACAAAATTCCAAGTAAGTTCTCCAATGTAAGTTCAGCTATTCGAGGCTAACATAGCGTGAAAATTTTGTAATCGCATACTTGTTGGAGATCTCTGTATTCCGCTGGTACGGTGTATGTACACTCACGAGAAAACTCGGCTTCCAAAGTACAGAAGGGCCTCCTACTACTTGGTCTCGGGAATTACTCAAATTTTTGCCAAATTCGCGTTTAACATTTATTCTAGTACTTGAAAGAAATTCACCAACTCGTCGCCCGAGTTCTTAACTGTTCTAACTGAATTTTTAAAAATTTATGTAGATAATAAGATATTTCAAGTTTGTAAACTTTAACCTCAGTTTTCTCAGTTTAGAAACTAGTGGAGATAGAACACTTAACAACTAGATCGACGATGTGGTATGAGTAGGAGGCCCTACGCTGCTTTTTCCCCTAACGGATGCCGAGTTTGCTCGTCAGTGTACAGCAGTCGGCGATGGTACATTGAAGAAACGACACGTAGTATCCATCTTTTTCTCTCCTTTTCCCATTCGTCGTCCACCTTCAAAGGTATGGACACAGGTTTGGCAGAGAATCAACACCACGGTTTTCTGTGCCGTGTCGTCATCGTAGGTCGATCGACAGAAAACGATACGGTCGGTCGCGATAGATCTAGGAAAGGAGGCCGTTCGCGAAGGAAGAAAACAAAAGCGTGAGCGGAATTTGCCGCGAGACTCCCCCGCAGAGACTCGCGTCTGATAACGCTATATCGTGCCATTTCTTCGCGAGAACTATCTGTAAAATGGCACAGAGGTCAGACCTTTACTCTTACCGAGGATCCCATTGCAGTTATCGCGCGGCGTCATTCAGTCAGTGTTAAATGCCAGTTGGTCGTCCGAGAACGATCGACCGTTGCGGAAAAACATGATTCCCCTTCAATAATCCCAGCGATACTCAGGGACCGTGACGCGTGTGTGGCAGTTCGTACGCTGTTTCGATTCTCTCCTTATCTTAACCGCGGTACCAAACCTTAAAAAATACTGGCGCCAGTTCGGGATCGAGAGTACGGTTAGAGGTTCGATAATCCAAGGCAAATCATAACAAGAGTAATCTGCAATACTGATACATCTCTCGTAGTAAAGTGCCCTGCTTCTCCGGGGGGAAATGTTTTGCATACGTTGGTAAAGTTTCCATCGCGTCATGACCACGGTGTAAGTGGGATTCATGTATTAACTGAACAGGGATTATCGAGACTCCACAGTACACTGTTGAAACGCGAGTTTCGAGTATACAGCTTCGAATGATAGCCGGGGAACGCGAACTATTTTTAAATGTTTTGACAATTGGTTCTATATTTACTCTAACCGAGACTTTATTCGTTTGCCGGGAATCGTCTTTGTGCATCCTTCTATTTTCTGCTCGCTGAACGAACAATCTTTTCGACGAAATTTAGAACGTTCCGTTTACAGGCAACGTTTCCGGAAATTGTTCTCCCGAAGAAAGACATGCGAAGACCGAGGACTCGGGTACGCCGAAAGCCGTCGCGAGTAATAGATAAATTGTTCCTCTAGAAATTGCCGCCAATTAGGAACTTGGTGATAAATGCAACCCACGCGCGAGTAACCGCATTAATCGTTTCGTCGAATCAGTGAATACTCGTCGTGTACCACGTGGCCTCGATCGATTATCGTTTTGTTTGAATTTCATTTCAAATGTATTAACGTACGAACCTGCATTCTACGCGAAAGCTTACAAAATGAGAACTCCCCCGGATCTAGTCGTTCCCCCGTCGGTGTTGTTTAATTTATAGTAAGTATAGTTGAACAAGTGACTGGTCTTGATTTATATTCAACTACCCAGTAACATTGATCCTTTTTGTTCGATCTTTGCTTCAGTTTGAACCACGTGTCACAAAGAACGATCAATTCGGCCCTACCGAACAACACGAACGGCACCGTCGATGCTGACAGTAACAATAATGGGCAAACGGCGGCTAGTCTTCATCAGTTACTCTACTCTTCCAACGAGGAATATCCACCGACATCGTCCTCGGGGAATCACGTTTCTTCCTCCCAGCATGGAAACGAGCTCAACGAGGATTGCCGGTACGTCATTGATATCTCTCGACATATGTCTCGAATTACGTAGAAACTGACGATTCCGGTCGATCAGAAAGTAGAATTTTATGACAGCTAACACGTAGGAAATTACTCCTCAGCTTTCAGTACGTTCTCGCCGCGGCGACGAGCATCGCGACGAAGGTCAACGAGGAGACACTTACCTATCTGAACCAGGGTCAATCTTACGAGATCAAACTGAAGAAACTCGGCGATCTCTCCGCCTATCGGGGGAAGATTCTGAAGGTACTTGGTCGCACATTCAATCCGTCCACGAGAACACGGTCAGGCGGCTCTCGATGTTTGGGTAGCGACATCTTAAAAAACGTGCTAGTCTCTCACGACGGAATCAAGCGAGCTCATGCTGGTCGCAGCGTGTGATCGTTGAAAGAATAGCTAGTCTTCCTTTCAGGTGAAAGGAGCGGTGTGTCGTAATCGTGGAGACGAAATTTAGCCCAAATACTCTAGGAACGTAATTAGAAGCCGGGACTAAAATCACGTGACACTAGGCGCCCGATATGGCCAGCTGGGGTATTCTTAAAAGATCTCTTAAAAACGCTTATCGAGCCCGGTATACCGTTAATCGTATCTCGTAAATTCGTTAGCTCGAGAAATCCTTAGGTTCGGCGTGAGCTCATAGGTCCTCGACGTTCGAAAGATGTGAGTCACCCAAACGGTGCTACAACGTCTCTGAAGGGACATCCGACCTTTTTGTTTCAGTCGACGATACGCATATGCTTCCACGAGAGGCGACTTCAGTACACGGAACGGGAACAGATGCTGGCTTGGCAACGAGCTAGACCCGGCGAAAGACTGTTGGAGGTCGATGTTCCGCTGAGTTACGGGATGGTGGACGTTTGTCAACCATCCCCGTCCAATAATAGCGTGGAATTCATGTGGGATCCCACCAAAGAAGTCGGTGTTTACATAAAGGTACGAAGGACCTTTCAATGCCCAAGGCAATTGAGGGGTTCAATGGGAAAGGGGCACATGCAACATTTAAATCTAATCTTATTTCTTCTAAAAGTAGTTTTTATGTAAATTTATAGTATTGTGGCATGTATACCCCTCTTTCACTAAACCCCCCAGGTTCTGACCCTACGGATTATTTCTTGAATAACATAGTGCAATCCCCGTTTGGATTTCAGGTGAACTGTATCAGTACTGAATTCACGCCGAAGAAACACGGTGGCGAGAAAGGCGTACCGTTTCGTATTCAAGTGGAGACTCGATTACCAGGAGGACCCCGTCTACACGCAGCCTCTTGCCAGGTGAAGGTGTTCAAGCTGAAAGGTGCCGATCGCAAACACAAGCAGGATCGTGATAAAATTTTACGACGACCGCCCCACGAGCAGGACAAATATCAGCCGAGCTACGACTGCACGGTTCTCTCCGACGTAAGTAAAACAACGTGACGACGGTTTCGTCACGGAGATCTGAAAAAAATTTCTTGGATATGATTACAGATTCCTCTAGAGTCTTTATCGTCGTCCAGTTTAATACCGCAAAACGGAGGAAGCCCCTACGCTCCGACAGAGGCAGTGTAAGTACTATTGTATTAATAAATTTCTGTTTTATGTACGAAACATCGAATTCAACGGGAGGTCAAAAAGTCTCGTAATTTCTTATCACTGAATAACAATGGTACGTTCTTACGCGCTATCACGGATTTTTGTGTCTTCGTTTTTACGGCCGATTGTTACGATATAGATTCGTGATTTTTCAGGAATCGCGAAGACTTTTAGCTCTTTACTCGCGTCATTAATACTTTTATCTCTTGGTAAGATTACTTGTTTTTCGTTACGGTGAATTTTTATACCGAGTATGATTATTAAATCTTTTTCAAACACATCAGGTGTTTCGATAAATCCTTCGTCGCGTAAACTTTAACCGGCCCAGTCCGGATGCGACAAGTTTCGGTCGTATCGCACCATTTAACAAAATGATAGTTGTTATCCACACCTTATCCATTTAGTTGCAAGCCAAAACATTCGAACGAGCAATCCGACTTACTCGCTTGAATGTTTCGTTTTCGTTTCAATGCCCGACACCTTTCGTCATCGATAATTCTAAATGCTCGTGAAATTGTTACCGTCGCAGAACCAATGTTTTTCCTCCAACATCAAGATATTAATAGACATCGCAAACAACGAGTGAGAAATCGCGTGTCCTTCGCGCTGTCGTGCAACAGAAAAACATTAAGGTTCCATAATTGAAGTAAAACAACTGCCCATCTAAAATTGGTTCCAATCCCTTTCACGACTTAAGCCACGTCTTTAGTACCATGGAGTACATGCGTAAAGGAAACTTTTAGTCTTTGCACCGTGTGGATCGTGCAAAGATACGCAGTTGAACCTGTTCCAAGGACCAAAACTTGCGAAACCAGGGAGTGTCAGGGCAGAATCTCCCAAGAATTTGGAGTTACCTTACATTAATCACGCTTTCGCTACCATCAGGTTTCTCTGTCCCCCCTTAAGAAACATACATTCTCTAAAAAGACAGCTAAAGAGTAAAAAAGATCCGCCTACAGTTCGTAATGAGCCACGTATCCGTACGCACCAACTATAGACATAAGTACAAGAGGAATGGGACTGCATGATCCAACGGGCAAAGTAGAAATGCACTGGCTGCATCGCCATCTCTCTCTGCCCCTCTCTCTGTAATTGAAGAGGTAGGGGATCCGCGGATGAATCGAAGTCGATGGAGGTGGAAGCGATTCGCGATGTGGAGGTGGCGGCTGAAGCGTGGTGGCGATGGTAATGGCAATGGACGATACCGTGGGGACTTGTGGGTAAAGGCTCGCTGGGCATAGGAGGAGGGAGCTGCCCCCGGCACGGGGGAACAGAGAAACTGGCTCGAACTGGCACAAGCCGGCGTCTGGTAGAGCCAACAACGATGCTTCCCAGAGAAAGAGAGAGACACTCTCGACGACAAATAAATTCAGAACGCCACACGATACACGCGTCGCCGCGCAGCCGCTTCGGTTCTCTCGTTTGTCCATCAGCCGCCTCTTACGAGTCCGTGGTCCGTTCGTTATTTTACGCGAGGATATATATACTGGCCGAAACCTTGCGATTCTACTGCCTGCGTTTAATTTTTTTTTTGTTTTTTTTTTTTTATCGTTTCGTCTTCATCCCTTCTCTCCACTTCAGTCTCACGTTCGATTGCTCGCGGGCGCGATCGCGGCCCACGGAGCCACCAGTCGTCACAGACACACAGTGAACGAGAGAGATACGTATAGAGTCTCCACACGTGAAACGGGTGACCAAGTGAGAGTCGCAGACATGATCTACCGCTGAAGACGCATGTTTATAAATAAACCCGGTGATCGGTGACCTGTCTCGAGTGAGATTTCAACAGAGATCGGACCATACGTGTTACCACCGTGTTCAGTTCCTTTCTACAGCAACGTCCCTCCGCAGAGCGAATCGATAACACCGTCTGGTTCACGCTGGTTTCTACACGAGTCAGAACTTAATACAGTACCGCGCGATAAAAGCATTTCTTGCGGTCTGACGTCGACGGTGACCTGACCACGGTGAACGTGTTTCGTCGCTCTGAACGGGAATATATTGATTCCCACGTGGACAAATCGGTGAGACGCGTGTCCGAAGTGAATCCTCGTCGACTCTCGTGCACAATGCACGGGAATGAGTGCAATCATTTCCGCCTTGTGAAATAATCTACAGGAGGATCAGAGAGGAGAGTTTCTCGTTGATTTTGGTACGCGTTCATCGACGAATAAAGCCACCGACAGGAAGAAACATACAGACACGGGGTGCGCTGCATCGGCCGTGAATTTAAAAATAAATCGGAATCCGGAACACACCGTTGTTAGCGTTCTACGTTTCACTAGCGGTTCGCTCGGTGCTGACCCCGGTAAAAAAGAAAGAGAGATCGACCGAGAGTCGATTAAAAATCGTCGTACTTTGAACCGAACCGTGTGATGTGTCAAGAATCGCGAAGACGATAATTTTTTTTTTTTCTGCCCGCGAGGCTCGCCCGCCTGCGTCCTCTATCTTTCTCTGTAGAACACGTCTCTGGCTTTCCAATACGGGGCCACACTGCGTCCGACACGAACGAAGAATCATCGTACAGCAGGACTGGCGAAAGTTTCGTATTATCGATCGAGTATCGAATCAAGAGTGAAGCATCTGCACGCCGTTGGAATGCCCTCGTCCGGTGTAGAAACACGATTTCCGGCTATTCGTCCGTATTTTCCTCCCGAGTCGACCATCCTTGATCACGAAGTGTCGTTGTCGGACGTGAACGATCAACGCATGCACGCGCTTGTGATCCTGGCCAGCCAGGTGCTCCTGTCGCGGCAGGATCACTTCCTCAGATGACGAGCAGCCTGGCCGCCGGAAAGCTGATGCCAGGGCGGTTCGATTCAGCCTTGAACTGAACGTCTAACGAGAGGAACTTCCGCTTCTTTCCTTCTTTTTTTCCTCCGATTACACCCCACGGGCCTTCCTGGGGCCAGGAATCACCTGGATTTTCTTCCGGGTATTTAGGGTACGCGTCTCCATTCGGACACCCAGCAGCTTTCGAGTAAAAGTGAGGCAGAATCGTTATCCAACGTGTCACGATTGGGGAAAGTAAACTGATTTGCTCCACGGCTTTTCAGCTAATTCGAGCAAAACAAGGATTGGACTCTTGCTTACGAGGCTGGCTACGGTTTCCAATTGTTCTCGAACGATAAAACTTCGCCGCGTTGAGAATACTAAAAGAGCATAGGACGTGCGACACAAGGAAACACGGATGCAATTGAAAAAATATGGAACGGATACCAATAATGCGTTCCACAGATTTGCCAAAAAATTGAATAATTTTGTCGGCTGGTTCGTGGGTACGAACATATTACGAGACACAGACGTGCTACGATCTTATTGAAGTCAATTTTACGAATGTAAATCAGTAGACAGCTGCTGCATCGAAGACACTTGTTGAAGTCTTGGACTAATCTGGAACAAGAGACATGGAGTATCGAAGGGATCGATAAGAAGAAGAGAGATAAGACATAGAGAAAAGGACGTAGTACGTTATCATCGCGAGGGGATCGTCTATTTTTTAAATTTAGCGCGACAATTACGGACGGGAGCCGTGACTGGAGATATCCGGTTCGGAGCAGTCGCTCGCGTGTACCAATAGCGATCTGATTCATACCGATTTTATCCGACGATCGACCTTTTATTTCGTGAAACGTGACTTTCAGACAATCGATTCGCTCAGTCGCGAATCAGTTACAAAACTAACCATTCTTCGAGCCAGTACTTGGAAACAGGTGAAACTCTGAGTTGCTGTCGAGAATTCGAAAACCCTCGAAAGATCGTCCATTCGAAATGTGGTCGTTCGAGTTTGAATGTGAATCGACGGGGACAACTCGATACGAATGGGTGGAAAGATGATTAAAGATTATTCCTGCGTCTGTACGGTCGAATTGTCTGCATACATGAAAGAACGGCTGAAAAGACGAAAGAAAGGTTTCGAGGGAAACGCGAGCTCCTGATAATAGAGAGACGAGATACGAGAAGGAGAATCTTTCCGAAACATAGATGGAATTCAAGAGACGTGTACTCGAGATGCCAAAAGGCTCTCCGATGTGGAAGTTGAAAAGCTGCTGGGCCATTCGATTCATGCCCGAGTATCGAAGTAATGTCACCGATTACCTTCTGGAACACGAGGTAACGGTCAGCGGTGGTCCCATGCAAGTGGAAGTGGTGGCCAAGTTTATTCATTCTATTTCGGAATCCAGAGCGAGAAGAGGTAATCTCATGCGTGGCGGATTAGTCAGCCTCACAATAAGAAAAGGCCGTAAGAACAAAAGGATCGACGGGAGGGAACACTCGAAGCTGATATTCCGGCCGAAGGGACGATCCATGTAATATGAATGACGAAACTTCGCCCTATTGAAAATACGAAAAGAATAGGAACGAATATTACGTAGGATTCGATCGCATATTTTTCATGATCTCGTGCTTATGTAACACTCGAATAAGTTGGATGACTTTAAGGTCCACGATTCAACAGAATTAATTATTCGTTTCCGAGCTTCGTTTTGAAACGAACACGCTCATTATGAGTAATAGTACCCCGGTTCTCTGATAGCCCCTTACACAACTTAACTATTCGCGCGCTCGCCACAATAGGCCGCAGTATCGACGATTAAACCGTGTTTGCTTTCATTGTGGATAAACCCGTTAATTCACACTATGCATCGGTCTTCCGTAACGCGTCTACTTTGCAGTGTGTCCCGTTAACGAATACAAGAATACCCCCGGGGCATTAGATTCATTTAAACTGCAACAGTGTCGTAATCGAGACCAGTCGAATCGAAGAGAATATTCATCTCGGTATTTATGTCGACGGCACCGACCTTTAAAAATTCACGTTATTTCGTTTCGAATCGTCGCTCTTTGATTTCACTTACTGTATCAGTATAGTATTACTTGTTATTTTAAGAAAAATTGCTAACTAGCATTCCTAACCTTTTCCAAAGTTATTACAACAAAAGGATATCAAACTTCCCATTGGGATTATTATTACCGAGTGCAATATATAAAAATTTCTAGGCTCAACTTAGTTTCTGTTTTCTGTTCTGTCGAATATTATATTTTTTAATAGGGTCCTTATTGTTAATGAGCTTCAATGAACACATTTACATAAGAAGAAAACGTTATATGGTTGTTTTTGTTCATTTATTCGTAGATTACAGCATGTCAGGATTAATTCCGTTAAGAGTGTACTTGGACTAAGGACTATATCTGACAGTGTTGGTACTCTGTCAGGCAATGTTGACTTACGGTTGGTCTGTTCTTGTAGATCACCCCAATCTCGGTCGACCATAAGCGGCAACACTTCGCCCGTCGTTGCCCCCTTGGCACTTTCAGTTTCCAATCCTGGTATCATACCACTAGTTCCAGCCTCAGATGCAGTCAAAGAGAACGTGGGAATCGCACCTGCTTTACCATCGCCCGCGGCTATATTACCGGATCAGTCCTGCATCGAAAACGAAGTTAGTTTACTTGCGAAGAATTTTGTTAGCCCGAAGCAATTGCCTTGTTACCTTTATCCCCTTCGTTAGCAATTAACAAGAACCTAAGGATATCCAGAATTAACTCTGAAATCTAACATGCTCTTACCACGTGCGTTTCAACACCTCGCTTCAAGATTCCTCTGCTCCTTAAGGATTAAGCATCATTCCGCTTTGGATTCGTGACATAACACTTCTCCTTTGATTACATAGGGATCATCGTGTTTGGCCCAATTGTCACCTGACGCAAATGCTACTCAGATGAGCACGTGGCTACGTGCCGGTCGTTTCGGTGCCTTCGAATCAACATTCGCGAGCTTCTCTGCCTCCGACATTTTGCGACTCTCCAGGGACGACCTGATCCAAATCTGCGGTCTGGTCGACGGGATTCGACTGTTCAACGCGTTACATTCGAAAGCCCCCGGTCCGAAACTCACCCTCTATTTCTCGATGGAGGACAACGGTTCGCTTTGGAGAGTCGCCTACCTGGACAACTTGACCAGCAGCGCCCTGATGAATAAATTATTGAACACATTGAACTTACCTCACGAACGACTGCACTCTGTGCTCTTTCTCGGTCCTCAAGGTATCCACGTTTTGGTTACCGACGAGTTGGTAGTGAACATGAAAGATGAGAGCATGTACTTTGTCGAAACCATCAAAGGTAAGATGGAACGTAGTTCGTGCAAAACTCGGTGTTTTTTTATTGCTACTAAACTGATTTTAAGGAATTATAATCTGTTATTTGTTCCAGATAACGCGAGCGAGCGTTACAAGCTCCTTCTAAAGCCCACGTCGCGTTCCTAAAAAGCACATCGACTAACTGCAATTGACGAATTAATTCAGAAAATGTGGTGAACGAAATCTCCCACGAGTCTTCGATTGCCAAATGTATCTGTGATTCGATAACAAACTTTCGCGTAACGAATTGTATCAAGTGCATGGAAATTTTTTTACTTTAAACCTATTTTTGAGGTTTACAACATTTACCATTTAGAACATTTAAAAGCACGCTTCTGAATTTGGTACAATTGGGAAATATTCTCTAGAAACATATCAAAATTATTTTCTTTTTTTACTGTAGATTGAGTCCGCGTTGAGAATTCAATTGAAACGAGGAAAAACATGGAAATCTTACAATACACCTAATACTCATTAGACGCTTTCAGTACAATTATATTTCGAAGATTATCAATTCTTCTGACGTTAAATAAATGTGTCATTTTCAGCCTTATAAAAAAGACGTGTAAATATAATAACATATATACGTACGTATTTTTTATGAGACTGAAAATATCACGATTATTTATGTATACAGATATATCAGGTATATATTTTATATGTATTACTTTACACGAAACTCAAGTAACTTTCTTTTTGTTTCTTTTTGTTTCTAGAATTTAAGTAAATCCTTAGTTTCAAAGATACGTAGGAAATATTTACGTCGCGGCGAGAACCGCAATTACTCAATTCTTGTGCCACATAGCGACACCGCAGATCTAGTTTACGAATTATTGTTGTTGTTACTATTATTCATCAGCATCGAGTCTGGTGTTATTACAAGTTGACGTGTCGTTGATCGCTGACGTTGCTGGTGAATACCGATCTCTATTTACACAAGGTGTAAAATATTCTTTATTTCGACAAATTATAAACAATGTTACGTAGACATATAAGTCTGAGAGAGAGAGAGAGAGAGAGGGAACGTATAAAGTGAATAAATCGCTCCTAGAAGGAACGAGGTTGCTAATCGATGAAAAAAATATAAGAATTAGAAGAGTACGCGAGGAACCAGTTCTTCGATATTTACAAAGTGCGTCCATAGAAGAACTGTAAGTGCCTTATTTCCTTATCGTTAATAGCGAATAATTAGAATTTATTTAATAAGGGCTTGACAATTTATAAAAATAATGATTGCTTTTGTCGAGATGAAGAAAAGAAAATGTTTATTCTGTTCCGTAGTACAAATTGCAAATGGGGGATGAAATTATTCCTTGAATGTCTTCGAGGGTCTTGGGAAATCGTATGAAGTATTATAACGTATCTACCAAATGCTAACTTATAAGTTAGATATTTTGTGGAGAACCAATCGATTCCAGGATGAGCCACAGATAGATACGAATCACTCGTTAGGTGTCAGGATTCAGGATAGGGTCGTGAACAGTTCTTTTTATATATACATATATATATATATATATATATTTTAATTACGATCGAACTGTAATGGCATGCCGAGTACTCTCAATGTAACGTGTGAAACGCGTATTAGTTTACATCATATGCAACTGGGCTGAATCGCGTAACAATCTGAAAGATTTTACGCGCGGCACATGCAAAGGAACTGTCTAATTTTTAATGTATTTTAATCGAGACTTTTGACACACAGAAGCTCGTGTGCAATATCGGTAAACTGCATGCTGTATACTCCGTTAGAAACTTTCACGCATGTCATTGTATGTCACAAAAACAGCACAATAAATAATGCTCCGATGCCAAACCGTGCGTATTTATAGACTATCCAACGAGAATAAACAGGATTTTACTCATAAATATATCATTTTATTTAACAAAATAGAATACATCGTAATAGAATGTAGATCCTCCTTGCGTCGGACATATAATACGATGCATCATCCACGAAACAACGCAACGTGTCTCTGTAAGTCGCGATACACGTTGCATATTATATTTCCTTGCACCTCGTACGACCGTGTAGCGCGTCTCTGACATTAAATCGCGTTACTTCCTCTTCTCTTTAAGATTCTTTTTCTTTTGCTTCTTCATCTCCCGTTCCGACAGACATTTGAAGAGCTTGTAGACGAAGAAAACTGGAATCATAAGGAGAAAATATTGCAAGTTTATCGGAAGGCAGCGCGAATAAGATGATTTTCTATTCGAGACCGAACATAGAATAATTCGAAGCACTCAGTCCACTAACCAAGAACAAGAACTATTAACAGTACTGCAAAAAAGAAAACAGTGTACGAATGAATGTACAAAAGATGGGTGTACGAGCTCGTCTCCTCTTTCATTTTCTCCTGCAAACTTTCTTTAAGCTTTCCGAACACAGTGTCCACGAATTCCCGTTTCTCCTCGTCGTCCAACGTTTGATACTGTTCGAAGATATTAGACAACTTGTCCCTAGCATTCTCCGGTAGAAAATTGTACAACTTCTCTTGCAAGCCTTCAGTAACCAAACCTTTGCTTTTCAGGACGTTCAGAAGATTTTCCGCCATGCCTCGCCGTTTATGCACAAATATCGAGCGAAATCACGAAACTTTCTATCAACTACGAAGACATACAGGTCAGGCGTTATGCCGTAATCATACTAATTTCATCGTAAGGGAGCGTTAAACTTATTAAATGATTGTTCACGGGTGGCAGTTAAGTGGACGATTAGATAACAGGTAGCACGATAAATCGAACAGTGTCCATACGTGGCATCCAAACGATCAGTCTGCAAGTGGATAATTGTGCAATGCTGCTGACAAAACAGAAAAAATATGGCCCACTTCGACTCCAAGGCTTTCAAAGAAACAGTAAATTATAATTCCTAACGCAATTCGAAGTTGAACGGAAATGGTATCGGACCTTTCATCAGACTAGTCGATTTATTCGCATAGACACGGAACGTATCCGACCGAACAACTATATTCTTCAATGCATTTGAACATAGGTTTGTATACGTACCGTATCGTATCGGCACAAACACGTACCGGCATAACACAACGGAAAATGTTTTTTTTTTTTGTTACTGAAGTATAATGAACCACTGTTTGGTAGTTCTGTAATTGTCACATTTTTATCGTCAAGTGACTTTGTGTTGACTAACTGATCCGATGCCACCGTCCGACGAATGTATAATATAAGTACTCGTGTCTGTGTCTGAACAATGCCGATACGGAACCGTTACGTGTCGGATACGGATAATATCATAAATCCATCTTTATCGAACATCCATGAAGATCTATTGTTTCACGGGTAGAACATGATATTTACCGAAAATGAGAGCAACAACGCTCAGTAGGGACAAAAGGATCATAGCCTCCATAGTCCAGCCATTGTCGGCAGCTTCGCCGATACCTCGGATATTTTTCAGCAAATCTTCCCTAAGAGTAGTCTTTTCCTCGTCCGATATGTCGGTCATGGACTCTAGCATCTCGAGGAGCTCCTGTGTCGTCGGGAGCTTTCCCTCGAAATTAGGAATAGTGTCAGGAGGCAGAGTAGAGTCTCCTTCCGTCGCAGCTTTAGCCGCATCATCCGCGGATGCAGATGCAACAGCCTGAAGGCCACTTACGAATGTCATCCACATTCTATATAAAAATATCGTCTGGTTATATCGGCAGACTGTCTAATCAAAACTTAGATAACGCTATTTTTACACAGACATTATGCCCAACAATGGACGAGACGTAAATCACCATATGTTTCATCGTCGGAAGAGGAACAATTTACGGACAAGTACGTATAAATAGTAAATCGAATTCTATACTCTGTCTGTTTCTTAATGTCGCAGCGTTTTCTTTACTGTTAAGGATTGTTATCAGATGTTTACGATATCAAACGATGACTCATAGACATACCTGATAAATGATACTTTCGTTCGAAGAAGGAGTTTAGCGAAGACCAAGAGACACCCCAAGTCAAATACGATCAAACGTTCTTCGAGTTGCGCAGTCGTAAAGTCAAATTAAACCTTTAGAAAACTAGGTGTTCCCGAAGAAGATGCTTCACTGGAATGATCACTTGTGTTTGCCGCGAGGATAAGCTACGATCTGACGTACGGCCGACGATTGGCCGGCCCAGAAGAGAATTCTTATCTTATTGGTGGTTCTATCGTGTCGAGCCAACGTGGCCGCTTCCAACGTGTTCGCCGAGAAGCCACGAATCTCGAGTTAACCTACTCGATATGACCTGACCTTTACAACATGTAGATTAATACGTGCCTTGCTCTCGTAACTCGAACACAACATGTTGTGTTGCGTGTGTCGAAGGGAATTAGAAGGTATGTACGCTAATCGGTGATTCAGTTGTACAAATACTTCTTATGTCCCAGTAACTCCTACGTGTCTAGCTTACGTAGGTCTCGAGTACACTGAACGACAGCGTCCTGTTTGATGATTTATTAATTAGAAGTTCTATGAACTAATCGACACTCCAATGTCTTACTTTACATCCTTGTAATATCCGATAAAATAAGTGATTCTATTGTTAGAGAAAACACTTCCATCGCTTTCAATATTCGATACATTATAATGACTGAACGTCCAAGATTTCCGTCTGTGTTTCTTAAGCGAATCGTTAGTGAATTGTTGACTCGTAAAATTAAGTCGATTAAATGATCCTAACAGTACATTATCTGAATTTGTCTGTCACGTCACGCTACACTCGTGAACTGGTTCACGTGCAGCAGCTTCAGGTCTTTGACCTGGCCAAATGAGGTATAAACCTGTTGCCTTCGAAGAAAGCACTTGTAATCGGAAAGTGCCGGTCAGTTATTCTCTAACGTGATCCATCGTATTCGTAAATGAAACATAAATTAAATTTAGCGGAAAGAAAGATGCGCGACTGTCAATGTGAATCAAGAAAGGGTAGATAAAGCTTAGAAGCAGAAGATGTGCCTGAATTGTTGAACTCGGATAGCAAACCATACGTTTCAAAGAAGCCGTTATTCGTGTGCGAGATATTAAGTGCCGCGCTTTGCACGGATAAATCTTACCGGCAAGTCCGACGACAATAATCCCAGGAACTACGAAGACGATATTGTTAAAGCCATGCTCGAACGGACCATCGCTGAGATCCACCATCTTTTAGTGCAAGAAATTTTGAAGAAATTTTTAAGGAGGCACCTGTGTGCTGTAACTGTCTACGCTAAACAGGTGTTCACGATAACGCCCTCTATGAAATACCTGGCGTCGAATTAACCCGTTTACTAGGCACCGTTTGTTTCGAAAACTATTCTCCGTGTATCACGGTCGATCGTCAACATTTTATTTAATAAATTGTAACTTCTCGGCTGAACATCAAAATGTACAAGATACGGGTACAAATTATTCCTTGAAAGATATTGCATATATAATGCTTTCAATGAAGGTATTTCGATGAATTTCGTCCGGTTCTTTACACGGAAGGTGTAAAATCATGACTGTGACGCACATGTTATACTGGGCTACTGTGAAGATTGGAATTTTTTGAATATGTAATTCATGATGATGAATACATTAAGGAAAGTGTTAATTTTATGGTCCTTCAGTTTAATTTTCGCGGTTCCATACGACCATAGACGAGGTATTCGATAGAACTGAAATCCAATATGATTTTTGTAACATGATCAAAATGCTGTGGATCCCTCTTACTATTGTCGATTAAAAGTATTGAATTACTACGCAGATACATAGCATATTAAAAATAATAGCGCGAATAGATTCAATGTAATTCCCAAATTCACCATTCTCATAACGTAGAGGGCAGCGCAAAATCTCTGACTGCACAATCGGTATTTCTGAATATGAGACACAAAGTCTCATAAGATAATAAGTCTATTCTATATTTTGCCTATGGTGGTAAGGATTCAATTAAACTTATTATAAATTACGTATTAATTTTACGAAAAATAATAATAATATACCAACTTTAGTTTGATATACATGTTTTGAGACTAGTCAAATATCAGTTTAGATGTCGAAATATTTACGATTACTTATGAGAACTTGTAGAGTATTATCTCTAGTATTATTATTTACAAATAAAAATTTACAATAACGACATAATTGTAACAAATGTTTGCTGAAAAATTTGTAATATAGAATTTTATTTTAATACGCCGGAAGTTCGAATTATTTTTATGAGTTGCGTAGTAGCATTTCCGTTACCAAAAGCGCGGTAAAATCATGTATACAGTAGTTCCGTTGCCGCTCGTCTTCACAGTCTTATTACATACGGTCATCTGGTTGAAACGTTGTTGAATAAAGTTCATCATGCGTATTATAAATAGTAAAAATCTGTTGAAGTATGCAAAATTGACTGATAAAGCTTTTCCTCCTTTAAAAGCATCGGAACATGCTGCTGGATACGATTTAAAGAGGTACACCAATAGGTTCAAATTTTTGCAAATCAATGGTATCAATATTTTGTTTTTTTTTTCTCTAACAGTGCCTATGAATATACCGTGCCAGCACGTGGTAAAGAATTAGTCAAAACTGACTTACAAGTCGCAGTTCCTGAAGGCACTTACGGCAGGATCGCTCCACGTTCCGGTCTAGCATGGAAAAATCATATTGATGTTGGTGCCGGCGTTATTGATGCTGATTATCGGTGAGTCTTTCAAAAGAATTATCAGAATATAGTACTGAACGTTGAACGAATATAGTTGTTTTAAACTTTTAAACAGCCATTGTGTGAAAGAGAAGAAATTCTTATTGTGTTGGTTTGAAAGGGTTATATCGTGCACGCATGCGGCGATACATTTATATCAAGGATATTGAAATTTTTTTTTTTTTAAATGCAGGGGTAACGTGGGGGTAGTGCTATTTAATCACAGTAATGAGGACTTCAAAATCTCACCTGGTGACCGTGTAGCACAATTAATTTGTGAACAAATTATTTATCCAGAGCTACAGGCACTAGAATGTTTAGATGATACAGAAAGAGGAGATGGAGGGTTTGGTTCAACAGGAAAGAACTAAGTTCATTTTTTTTTATATTTATTTCTTTACCCGCAGAGTATTAATTTAATGAAAAAATTATACAAAATATTCCAAAGGCATAATAGCTTTATGTGATATTTAATTATTAGTCTGATTAATAGTTTCTATAACAATATTTTTTTACTGATATTGGGAGCAACGCATCACACAATAAAGAATTTATTCGTTGTAATTCATTTTTTTGAGGTAAGTCCTGTATCCAATGTTGGCGTCTGTACTAAACGGTCAATGTCTGTGAACTCCTTACGAGTGGTATTTCCCAATATTTTAAAAATGACATTTTCAGAAGTAGTTATATGACACCCAATATCTCTCATCCTCTGTCAAAATAGTATAAGTTAAACTTTAAATCTATTATTGAATTGTTCTGCAAAACGAATTTTAACATCTACTTACTTCAAAAGCAAGTAATCTATCCTCCTGGGTACGTGTAGTACAGCAGTCTGCAACAACATGCACTTCATATCCACTCACTCTTAAATCAATTGCAGTACTTTCTATACACACATGGGTCTCAACACCAATCAGGATAATTGCTTCTGGTTTTTTACCAGAACAAATTGTAGAAAGTTCATTAGTTATCTGAAATAGTCAATATATAGCATGAAAATAATTAAGTATGTCATAATTATTCGTTCGGTGAAAAAACATGATATATTTACTTCAGGTGTGCACATGCTAAATTGAGTCTTTGCGAATGGTCCTTTGGCACCAGAAATGTCGAATTCAGGAATTGTTTTACCCCACCCAGTATGTTCAGAAACTAACATAGGAACCTCTAAGAGCTTTAATGCATTCATCTGTGCATATTAAATATATTTTTAATTAAAAAGTCAACATATGTGCATGAACTGTACATATAACCTTTAATGTGAAGTGTAAAACTATACAATGCTTGAAGAGATCTATACTCTATTAAGGTATGTAAACCATACACGTATTTATATTGCATAGGATACTTTTTATATTTACCAGTTTTATTGAGTTTTGTACAATCTTATTAAACTCTAGCATATCCTTAGCGAACATTACTTGGACGTCGCATATTAACAAAGCGCATTTCCCTTCTTTAAGAATTGCTTTTGCAGGGTTTATTGCCATTTTTCTGCAGTAATGCATAAGATTTTTTCAATTTCGTGGTAATAGTTGACGCGGTTTTACTATCAGAGATTGTTATCATATGTTTAGAATATTAAACATTGGTTCATTTACATACCTGATAATTTACACTCTCGTTCAAACATGGAAATTACCAAAGTCTAAAAGACAGCTGAGTGATCCTCCTTTAAGTGAAATGAATCCTTTGTAAAACTACGTATTCCTGAAGAAGATGATAGTTTACCGAAAAGACTTTTCGTGTTTCAAGCGAAGATAAATTACAATCTGTTTTACGGCCGACGTTAAACCAGTTTCGAAACGAATGTTTACGTCCTTGCTAATTATACTGCGTTGGACCAACATGAAGATTGTACTTACCGAGTTAAACACGTTTTCTTAGTCACTCGAATGCAACTTTGATCTGACCAAATAAGATATAAACCTGTGACCTTCGCGGAGCTCTTATCGAAAAGTGTCGGTCAGTCATTCTCTAATAAGAAGCATCGGTTTCTTGAATGAAACTTAAATTTAGTGGAAAGAAATCCCCTTGATTATGAATGTAAAGCAAAAAGGATAGACGAAGTCTAGAAGCTGAAGATGCTCTTGCATTGTCGGAATCTAGGAACTACGAAGACAATGTTGTTCAAGATGCTGAGAGACGCGGCTGTTACCGGTTGGTCTTCCGAAAGAATTATCAGGATATAAAGAGGAAGCTAGGGAATTTAATTTAATTCGAAATAACTGAATTAATTCTTTCTTTATGTGTGTCTTTACCTAAAAATTTAATAACAAAATTCGTACAAAATATCACAAAAACAGAATAGTTTTATGTAATATTCAATTATTATGTAAAGACTTAACTATGGCATAATAAAGTATTGTCATAGTAATTCATATTTTTGAGGTAAGGCCTGTAGGCAAGGTTGGTGTCTTTACTAAACGCTGAATATTTTTGAACTCTTTATGATTGGCATCTGCCAGTAATTTAAAAATAACATTCTCTGAGGTAGTTATATGACACCCAATTCCTCTCATCCTCTGTAAAAATAATATATCTTAAATTTGAGTCCATTTTTGAAGGTCACACCAACTTCTGACATTCTTGTTACCTCTAAAGCCAATAATCTATCCTCTTGAGTACGTGAAGTACAACAATCTGCAACAGTATGCACTTCATATCCATTCTGTCTTAAGTCAATTGCAGTATTCTCTATGCATACATGGGTCTCAAGACCAATTAGGATAATTGCTTCTGGTTTTTGACCGGAACAAATTGTACAAAGTTCTTTAGTTATCTGAAATATTCAACATGTAGCACGAAAACAATTGAAAATGTCACAATTTTCGTGAAGTGACGGACATATTATACTTACTTCAGGTGTGCACATGCTAAATTGAGTTTTTGGGAACGGTCCTTTGGCACCAGAAATATCGAATGCAGGAATTGTTTTACCCAAAGCATTTGGATTTTGTTCAGAAACTAATATCGGGACCTCTAAGAGCTTTAATGCGTCAATCTGCGCACATTAAGTACAACTTAACCTATGCGTAGGTAGTTTCACAGCGAAATGTTGCATATAGGATGCCTATCTTATAAACGTTCATTTTTTTCAAAAATATACAAATAATTGTCCAAACAAATTTTAGATATTTTTATGATTAATTGGAAAATCGAAATTATATGTGTATAAACTTTTATACATAACCTTGAATATTAAGTATAAATAGAAGTATACGAAGGTTGAGAAGGTTTAAGTTATACTGCATATGATATTTTTGTATATTTACCAGTTTTACCGAGTTTTGCGTGACCTTATCAAATTCGAGCATAGCCTTAGCAAACTTTTCTTGGACGTCGCATATTAGCAAAGCGCTTTTCCCCTGTTTGAGGATTGCTCTGGCAGCGTTCATTACCATTTTTCGACAGTAATGCGTAAAAAAATTAAGGTAGAATTCAAAATAGTGTTCGTTTGTCTCACAGAAAATCAGTCAAGGAGGTCACTATCGCAATGTCTACGAATTTCAACCCTCTGAGTTACTTGGTCCCATGTCGTGACGCACGTGATGTATTTCTGCGATATTCAAAGTTCATGGTCAGTCTTGGCATTACTAAGTTTAGATATGTTGCACTTAATCGATTTTGACTGAACCCTCTTGATGCGCAAGCAATATAATTGTGCGTATCGGGGCATAGCGATAATTGTTTATTTGTTTAGAGTTTAGAGCAACAAATGATAACTCAGTAGCACCGGTACATGAGGTTCTACATGAAATCATACAGCGTATATACATGTATGTTCTGTGAGATTAGATACAACTTAATGCTTTCAAAAAAGAACATTTCAAACACAAGCAAGACGCGTGTACCTACATAGAGTAACCGAGGTACTAGTATGAGTATTTAGATGTAGTATTTAGAAATTACTACCAATTGCGATGAGCTAAAAATGTTTGAAGAAATGAACGTAATTGTGTAGTTTTTATGTCCTATATTTTAGTCCCCACGGAGGAGATTTACACGGTGAAATGATTGCGTACAGCAACGGGAAGAGTTTATAAAACGCATACATTTTCCTGCAAGTTTTCCGTGGAGTACAGTTCAGTCGTTTAAATCGACTCATTTGACGCGTGCGCGTTGCTATCCGCGTGTCCCAGGTACGACTCGAGTCGGGTTTAGGAAGGCCACATAGAGCGGCAGCAGCGAGCATATCGGTAGTCAAACAATGTTGTTCCGGCTGGTCGGATGTACGGGTTCGTTTTGAGTTGGTAAAGCTCGATCAGGTTATTCCGGTGAATCAGTAATGATGCACGCGTACGGTTCATCGGGTCCGAAATCGCAGACATTCTAACGATCTTTAATATCACGAGAGCCCCGTATTTTCGTTCAAGAATTCATCGGGTCTGTGCTAGTTTGAGCGAGCAGCCGAGTTTATAAACAAAGAATGGCCCTGGGGCCTCGTGAGGCCGGGCACACGAAGCCGCTGGTCCAGCTTTTCCCAAACGCATCAGAATGCGTATACACGAGTTGTTATTGGTAAGTGTACAGCCAGATACAGGCCGACTTTTCTAGAACCACGAGAAATTATCGATTTGAACAAATAAACGTGTCGTATTGCGGTATAACCCGTGACGGATCGATACGTTGCAGTGGCACAGAGACGGCAGTGCGATATGCTGCCGCCATCTTTAATATGTATGAAACACTCACGAATCACAGTGCACCGTCTGCTGCTCGGCTTTTGAAAAAGTCCCGCGCGTTTCGTGTTCTGCTTCTTACCTAAAATTCACACGATTTTACCCCTCTGTTCAGCGAAGGAAATACATGAATGTACACGTTACTTCGATCGATAACGCATGCACGCTATCAGCAGATAATTCGCATACCAGCGTGCTTCGCCTAACGCGAGTATACCTATACGACGGTTTTTGTTTAATAACAAATATACGCCGGCATATACCAGCCTTAATCAACCTCTTTTTTTTTTTTTTTTAACCAGGTCCCTCATTTCCATCAGCTGTTTCCACAAAGCTTTCAGTCAGTTTCATGTTATCAATCGAATCATCCATCGTCTCTGTGTATTAACCAATCTTTTCACGCCATGCTTAATTTCGTAAACTTTCCATGTATTTGCCTGCATACACGTTTCACTAACGTTCTTCGCTTCGACTCATTCGCACACCTGCGTTCTCCACTTCTATACACTGTTCTGTTTAAATTTTCTGCTCATCGGGTGGATAACTTGAAAATATCGAATTTGTCGAAATTTTCAATTTATTCCATCAGGGAAGGATGATTCTTGGGTTATTCTATATTCCTCTTTCATCTCCGCTCATATCGTTGCATCGTATTTCCGTTGTTTAAGTGAACCGTTTTCTCGAACTCGTGCAAGAATCAACTATGTTATTCTAGTGAGGAAAATGTGTGGAAGCTGTGTCAGGATGTAGCCACGAGACACGGATCGGAATTACAGCATTGCTATGTTGCTTTCGTGAGCAACCCTTGGCGTAGGGTACCGCTTTGGCGACAACGGGCAGGAAGGGACGACGATAAGCTTGTACTTTGGGTTAGTTTGTGTGTGTGTGTGTGTGTGTGTGTACTAAAAAACAACAAAAAAGGCACTCCAAGAAGCCGCAGAGTGTCTCCATTAATCTTAGCTTTTCTTGTTTCATTGAAACGTCTTTCCAAGGGGGAAAGAAAAAACAACGTGTTTATTTGTTGTATCCCGTAGGACTTCCACGTAATCCTTATCTACGCACCCGACGAAAGGGCGGTCGTGTACGATTTAGATAGCGCGTTGCCGTTTCCCACGCATTTCTGGAAATACGCGATGGAAACGTTTAGATCGGACGAGGTGGTGCAACCGAAGCTTCACAGAAGATTCCGAGTGATCCCGGCCAGCGTGTATTTGCGAGAGTTCGCGTCCGATCGGCATCATATGAAACGCGAGGATGGCACATGGATCAAGACGCCGCCGGATTATCCGCCGATCTCAATACCAAGTATGTTCAATGGACTTAGGCTAGCCGATTTTTTTGACCCTGGATAAGGGTGCAAAAAAAAAAAAACAAAAAACATGCAGTCTACATGACATATTTTGCAACTCTTCTAGCGTGCAAGGACAACTTGGATTCCTTTATTAACATGGATCCAGGAACTGGGTTCGGGGTGGTGTTGACATTAGAGCAATTATTCGACCGATTTCATAGGCCGATCGCGAACACAACGGCTCCTCGTTCACCTCAGCCACAAGCGACACCGACTTAAGTGTATACGGATAAGTAAGTTTTGCAGGGTAAAAATGATTGTTTCGCTTCGATTTCCATTGTCTCAAAATCAATTGTATGGCCTAAGGGAATTGGCGGGTGTGCATGCACTTTTTGCGAGCTGAAATCACCGGGGTCAAAAGTTGATAATAATATTCACGTTTAATTGTTGCTAATCGCTCAAGATCCGCAGCCGCGTTTCTATCGTACCGGCAAAAATACACTGGAACCGGATCGCTTAATTTCTCCGAGACATTCCTGATTACGAATACTCGCGTTCACTTTTAATCGTATACTTTTTTCCATATTTCGTTCTTGTCTTCGAATTGTAATCCTAGAATTTTTAGTCGAGACCCAACAACCCTGTTTAACTATTGTCTTGAGTGCTACGCACAAAATTCGATACCAGAAGAAAACGTTCGTAATTCTATGGAAATCAAAATCTTACAAATCTATCGCTAGAAAAAGAAAATAGTTCGTGTCGTCAGTGTCGATACGCAAGCTCGCGATTACGTAATTTCGGCGGATCACGTGTGCTGCGCTGCTTTCTTTCCGAATAATCTTAAAATAAGTATTACCCTGTTGTATTTCTAGGCTATGCTGAAAATATGGTTGTTTCCCATCTTGTTAAAAAGTCTCTTTTGCAGACACCGTCGCGGAGACCTTTCCGTCTTCGTGCCAGCACGTTACGATCAACCGTATTCCAAGTTTTGAGTTGTGGTTCAATAAGCGTCCTCGTCTTCGTACGTTCTATCATCCCATTCGTAATGAATCTTTGTCACGACTTTGCTCTATCGATGGTATTTATATCGTTATCATTATTGCGTCAAAGACTGATTGTATTTGTAGCGGATAATTCTTCGAATTTCGAGGAAAAGCATACCGTTTTTCAATGATACAGATATCTATTGGCGCGCGTTCTAGGCACAGACGCGACCGAATGCGCTCGTTAATTATTACGCAGTCGATATAGTAAGGGCAAGAACTTTGTCTTTGCGAAATACTGTAATTATTACGATTATTGTAATTCTTGTGATACTTTACACTTTCTACTTTGAATACCTACAAGCTATACTTGTCTACTGTTTGTACTAAGAAAAAGAAAATACAACTGATTCTTAACGACCGTGCGTTCGCTCGTCGACGGGAATTATTTTCGGGGATCGTAAAAGCCTCCTGCACGACCAATTGTCCACATCGAAGGATCGTTTTTGAGTCAACGAATGCGTGTATCCTTTGGATTCCAGGTGAACAACGAAAACTTGGAGAAGAAAGTGACTTATTCGTCTCTGTTACGCGATATTATATTCCTTGAAACTGTTACAGTGAGAGGTTATTGTACAAGTTTGTTCGACGAGCGAACGCAATCGAGACCGTCGGTTCGTCGTTTCAACGGGGAGAAGGATGAATCATTAAAGAATAGAAAGAACCGTCGGTCGTTGTCGATAGTTTAAGATTTCGTCCACTCTTTGCCTTCCAGAATCTTCTCACTAGTTCTCTTTGTCTTTTTATCATCGAAATGTGTTTCTCTCCGATTCGCATATATACCATCTTGTATACTTCTTGCATAATCGGACATAAATCACGACACGGAACAAGTCCTCGTCGCTTTCGCATGAACACCGGCGTCGTACAATATATACGAATAAACTTGGGACCGATCTTTCTAGATTATAATAATATCTTTGATCACCGGAATAGTAAAAACGGGGAAAAAAGAACTAATCTCTCTCTATCGTTCAAAATATTGCTAAATATGTCAGAAATTATTATTATTGTATACACATACATACGTATATAGTATATATTTATCAATATTGCATATTTATTATATTGATATATTTCATTATATATTATATCGATTTCAATACGACGAGTAAGAGATTTTAGCCGAGAATGTTGAATTATACAATGTTTTATTATACACATACTATATTTGTCGACGTACGGTGACATATTTCTCTTGTCATTCTGATTCTGCGAAATAACTTTGAGGATCACGGATATTTCGTCACGATACCCGCATGTTCACGAGAGAATATACATATAAAACGGTGGAAAAAAGCCTCTTTATGAACTTCGTCTTTCGAGTATACGATAAGCTATTATAAAAACTAAAATGGATGCGCTCCATTTGTCTCAGCTTGAAATCTTATGAATGTACTTTTTCAGACTTTATACGAAGGAATCGTCATGTACTCAGAGATCCTCTCTCCTCTTCCTCGATCAGGTGCCACCATTATCGTTGATACAGTGAGCGCGACGAATGAAAATGAGAAAAAAAATACGAGAATGAGATACATACTTCCGAGATGGTGATCAAATGTTAAGGCGTGCACTTTCGTTTCTTCCTTCGACGCGATGTGAAAAGTTCCGTTCGTTGAATGTTAATGTTGTGGAATTACTAAGCGTTGACCGATACTTTCTACACCGCACAGTCGATTTTTCTATCATATCCGTTCGACTTCGTAACGAGATATAACTCGATGTCTGTTGAAGTTATAACGATAATCACAAAGTGGTTTTAACATTTTTGCTCATTACGCGCACAGAATTTCGGCGTTCGATCCAATTCAACACTGGTTCAAATCGTACCTTAGGCATCGGAGAGTTGAAAAAAAAGAGAGAAGCAATGACGCGCATGGATTTTCAAATGTATATTGTATTCAATTTGCAAAAATATATAATGTACAATTACAGAAGTTATAATGGTGAATTACAATACTTCGACGTCCCACAAACGATCCTTTGCACTTGAGGATCCTTAGTTAGCGGTAAATTCTTAAAGTTTGCGTAGCATATGTAATATGACGTGTATGCTGAATTGTTGTTGGTTGTCGAGAATATTATGACAGCCACATGACGTTTAAAATGTAACGGAAAGTTTGCCATGGAAATAGAAACCAAAGCCATTCAGCTTGTCAAATTACATCAGGTGTTCGAAGGTACTTGTCGCTGATCCATACGATATAAATAACTATCTGCAATACGAGTATTCAACTAAATTAAAATTAAAAGGAGCAATAGTTTTAATACTAGTCTGTCAGTATGCACCCTTCGTTTGATAAGTTCTCATAAAACAGCCACAATATCTTTTTTTGGGGGGTTTTAAGTCGTACGTTATTTTCAGGATAGAGCTAGAATAATAAATATCTAGTCAATAACAAATAAGTAACTAGGCTTTAAGTAAATGCTAAGACTGACTTACAATACAACGATGCGAATTACTATAAACACAACAATAAAAGACTTCCATGCGCTTATTTAGATTAGAAGCTTAGTCGAAAGTAGCAAATTAAACAGCAGTTAAGACATTCATAGTCCACGGTTATCAGTTCTTTTCGTTTCATTCGAGTAACCGGTGCAAGTCACAATTAATAACTAAATTAACTTTTCCTCGATCCTCAGGTTCGATAGTACGGCCTGTAAGTGGACATCGGGATATTGTTTTTCGATAAATGGTGCACGTCACCTTGGTCGTACTCCACGTCATTGTAGATTCCGCTTTGATTCTGAAAAACAGAAGCAATCTCTGTTCTCGAGGCTGTCTTTCGAATAGCATTTTAAAAAATGAGTCGACAATACTTACGGCTAAAGATGACCTAGATTTTGGCCTGGGAACGTGAAAGCCGCTACTTTGGGGGATCAGATCAGCTCTGTCCTTGTCCTGCGGCTCGGAATCCGAGCTGTCTGGATCTGGTTGGTGTCTCTGTCTTGATCTTGGCGGTGCCTGTAGTCTTGGCAGGGGGACAGGTGGTAACGTTCCATGGACGTTAATGGGTGGATAGCCGAACATGGCTGAACTCGGTCTAGTTGGTCCCATGGGCTCCGTCTATAATTAGAGAAGAATTCAATAGTTTCGAAATATCAATAATTCTGACGATTTTTATCCATTAATCGAGACCACTTACCGCGTATACATTGGCAGTTGCCATGTGATCCCCGAAGTGTGCCCACATATAGGGTGGCAAATTGGTCGGTGGTCCTTGCTTTACGGAAGCCAGTGTACCGACAGATCCCACCCTCGCCAGAGTTCCTGGTAGTGTACCAGGAATACCGCCCTGAATATATCCGTAAACCGGTGAGCCAACCGATTTTTGTTCTCTCGACCATCTTCGACTGTATCACAGATTAACGGTCATATAAAAATGTGTTGATTAACTAAAACAGGACGCGCTAGAGATGATTATTCGTACCTCCACATGACCAGACACACGAGCGTTAAAACTATAATTATTAAAGCTGCTACAGAGGCTCCTATAGCTACACCCAGAACCTCTCCGTCGACCTCGCACTGAGCACCGTAATAATTTCCAGTGCACCTGTGAACAAAATTAATTGACCGTTAAACTCTTGGAGGGCCATTAGTGATCATTTAAAAAACCATTGGAAGGGTCTTGGAAACCCTTGCACGACCTTTATTGGTTATTGGTATACTTACGTGCATTGCATGTGATCGCCCTGATACGAGCACGACCCTCGATTATTACAGTACGTCGAGGGACACGATATACAAGTCCTACCAGACTCGTTGGGATCGTCCTTGTGGGGATCCTTTAATCCTGGGTTACAGGCGCACGTAAATCCGCCCCAAGTGTTCGTACAACTGGCTGACGAATGGCAGTCGTTCAACTCCGACGAAACACATTCGTCCAAGTCTTTGAACACGATGTATCATAGAATCAGTACATAGTTGAGAATCGAGGTGATATATGTACAGTTGTTTTCATGCATACCTTGCAAGTTTGATATAGATCCAGGTGGACTGTCGACGTACAGGGCACTGTTCCCGATATTATTGCTCCTCCTGTGAATAACGCCGAGCAGGTGTCTTTGTAATTCCCCTGCTAAGCTCGGCCTAATTGTTCTCGGCTCGTAAGTGAGTTTCAGAGTTGCATTAACAAAGACACCCCCTTGCCCTTGGCTCACGTCACCCTGGTACACGCCGTTCACCAAAGAGCCCATGTACTCGTCCGAGAACGGTGTCATCGACATAGCTGATTCGATCTGAGAAACATAAAGAAATTCCCTGAAACCTCCATTTCCATCGTCCTGTTATCTAGAATTGCGTTCACTCACAGCTCGATTCGCCTCGTAGGCTAAAGTCTGATAGGCTTCGGAGTCCTTATCGGTGAATCCTCGATCCCAAACGACCTTCCTGTCGTAGATCTTGTCCACTCTCATAGACACCACGATACTGATAATTTCTGTCGACAAAAATTCCCAGTTTAATATACGTCTGCGAAAGTAAGATTAATTGCGATGGATCTAAGGGTTCTACGAACTCTTGCAAGGCAACGAATGCTGTAGTCTGGCGTATCCTGGCTTGCAGTGACAGGCGGACACTCCTTGAACAGTGGCACAAGCCTCGTGTTGACTGACGTCGCAGGTGCTCGTGTCACCTACAATACAGGTGTCGATTCGAACTGGGGGTTGAGTCGGTCTTCGATGAAAGGTCAGTCGTCGAATTGGTCCAGTCGGTCTTGGACTGACTGTCGGTGGATCAGGTTGCGGAACTGCAAATCTACATAAAAAACAATTATAACAGTGTTATGATCACCTTAGAACACTCATCGAGGATTTACTGTATAACTTTCAAGAGACACGAACCCTGTACCAACCACGGCTGGTGGCTGGGTCCTCGTAGGCTGAGGTTGCGGTTGTACATGTGTCGAAGTTCTGTCGGAATTTTCGAAGAGATTCAAGTACGTTCTTTTCCCGTCAATGCTGACGAATCCCTGACCTTCGACCGCAGACGTTAGTATCACATCCGCGCTTCCCGCGTTTATCGGCACCCTGACACCTTCCCCTGATCAAAGAAGAAAAAAAAAAGCAAGAAATACAGGAAAACTGTTGACGCAGAGGGGGTTTGTGTAATTGAACGTGTAAATGTTTACCGGAGCCTCCACCGCCGGGACCTTGGATAGCCGAGACCGTGACATCAAAAATATCACCGAGAGGTGGATGCCTCGGCGGCGGGTACGGTCGTTGAGTAGCCAGTCCTTGGGATCCTGTGTAATCCAAGGTGTCGTCGAGGACGATTCCAGGTCGGGGTCGGTAAGCATACCGATCCGTCGGGGCTACAAAGTGAATTAATTGACCATGACGGTTCTGTCAGGCGGGGTGTACAAAGAAAACCAATTAACCATACATATTGGCGGAGGCCACTGGGAGAAATTCATTATAGATCGAATTATTGTTGCCACGGCGAATGGGAAAAATTGATTCTTGAACGAATACCCTTACCTGAATTCTTTGTGAATGTGTTGGATGCAGGAGTGTGAATTATAGTTTTCTCGACGATCGATGGGGACTTTGTAAAAGTCGAAGGCAAATTTTCTGTCGGGGTTGGAACGCTCGATGAACTCGTCGAGCTGTCGAAATCAGTCGACGTGCTTGGTTGCAAAGCTGTCGTAATCGATGAACTCGGTGAATTATTTGCAGTGGTGTCCGTAGAAGCTACCGTTGGCTGAACAACAGTTTTCGTCGTTGTCGGTTCAATTACGTGAACTGAAGAGCTGGTTTCGATGTTCAACGTTGACGTGGAAAAGGATTTCGTCGATGTTTTGGAGAACGTCGATACGACGTTAGGTTTATCGTTATTTACATCCGAACTAGGATCTCCATAGTCGTTGATCTTCGACGATTTCGTGGGTTTGATGTCCAATGGTATCACAGGCTTCGGAGAATCTTCGTTCTTCGTGTCAGTCACATGATTAGGCTGACTATGTTCTGACCCAACCGTCGACGTCTTCTCGTTGCTTATTCGATTGTCCTTCGGCGGATTTTGATGTTTATTCGACACCTGAGCATCAGGGATCTTCGAGTTTTCCTTATCCTTTTGATTGTTATTTTCCTCGAGGATCTTAATGGCATCCTCTAAACTGTTCGTAGTGGCCTCGTTCTGATCGTTCTCTTCCTTTTTCGTTGAAGATTCCTCTGGCTGTTCCTCTTCGTATTTCAGACCGAAGTGAGATTTATCTGGATGTTTGTCGTTCTGATCCTTATCCCGATGGAAGGTAGAATCCAGGGATGGTGGTAATGGTTTATACGGTGGGATAGGTCGTCTATTGCCGCCTGAACACACGTAACAGGGACAAATTGATATTCAACTGATCAAGAAACAAACCTAAGAAAGAAAAGCAAACGAAATTAGTATCATTACCAGGACGATTCCAGTTCCACGGGCGATTTCCTTGGGGCACAATCTGTTCTGGTAGCGGTATTCCGTTCACGAACGGTCTAATAGGTCGTTCCGGTGGTAGTTGATTAACAACGGGTCTTTCCGGAGCTGGTGGTTTCTCAAACGGATAAGGATGATCTGGCGGAGGAGGAGGATTCATACCAGGAGTGTCAAAATCTGGTGGTAGAGGTGGAACGTCTGAAATTCTTGGTGGACCTCTGTTATTTATCCTGCGAAAAGGAAATTTACGCTCTCATTATTAAAAAAACAAGGAAATACAAGCTTTGAGCGTTCAGACGTCATCCCCACCACTAGATGCTTGACTGGTTCTACGGGGAACCTCCTCCAGTTGTGGAGATGACGTCTGAACAGTCATCGATGATTTACTGTAGTAAGTTGTGGAACTTGTATATTCACTTGCCTGGTTGCTTGAATCGGACGCAGAGGTCTGACCGTGTTGGCAGCCACATTCACGTTCCCATTCAGGAGTTTCACGATCCCCGTGATGATGTCCTGTATATCAGGATTCGCCTGACGTTGTCCTGCAGTGGCGGTTTGCAGGATGGGCGGCGGAGCGTGTTCGCTATAGATCCTCGGTGTCTCTTGGCGAGCTTGTCTTTGTTGATCTATCGCCTGCAGGTACTGTGCCCGTTGGTGCGACACTCCAACCAGCTGATGGGGCTCCGACAAGAGTTTTGGTCCCTGCGGAGCCCCTTGTCCTTCCCCCGACATGGATTCGCTTGTCGTCGGGGCTATACTGTTGGTACAGACATAGAGAAACGTATGAAGCATCGGTGGAGATTTGTAAGCCACGTGCAATAAATGGTATTCTGCTCAATGATCTACGACGATCGATGACTTGACAATCGCTGAAATCTACTCTCTTGAATGCAGATGATGTTAGTTTTGCTCACAAGATACTAAATGGTATTGCGGAATTTCACAGAACTCTATATTAACCTGTATACCGATCAGCTAGACTTTTATGGTTCTTTCCACACCTCGGATAACAACTTTCGTTTTCTTTTTCCTTGATTTTATAATTTCGTAATCCCATTTCCCCTCTCTATACATGTATACCAAACGGCTTGTTGCCCGTTAAATAAATAAATAAATAATAGTACAAAAATATAATGACAGGACGAAAAGAAGATTGACGGACTTACCGATAATATTCCCCCGGTTTCACCTCTATGTTGTTACCGTCGATATGATCGACGTGTTTCGAGGATGTCGTCAGTTCGTCGATAGCTTCTTCTTGCCCGGTATTATCTTCGAACCTGACGTCGTTTTTATCGAAACCGTGGACACTCTTCGAGCTTTCCAGCTGAAATGCTGGAACAGTCCTCTGGAACGTCGGCGATCCATCACGGTGGTACACGTTCGATGTCCTTTCCGGTCCCGTGTACGCGCTGCCGCTGAGAATTATGTCTTCTTGGGAGGAACGCGATGACGTCGGATCGTTTTGGATAGCCGACACACCTGTGTACAGGTTAGACAAGGCAATTCAGAAAAGGCGTGTTGTTCGTCTGCTTTGCATAAATTTGCAAACGAGCTCGTGCACGGAAAACGACGGACGCCTTACGGGATAAGCGGCGTAGTTTAAGAAAGAAGCGCGCGCGCCTCATCGCGCACCGAGACCCGTAATTGCCCTACAAGCGGGGTAGATAATTGTATCGTGATTAAATGGCGGTAATGAGACATTCGACGACGTCCGTGTGAGTAACCCGTCGACCGGCTCGATTCAACGGAGACGAACACGATTTCCCCTCGAACGGTACTTTCGAACGTTCCCCTCGTCCCGTTTCGCGTTCGTTCATTTTTGCGGATCGATCGAAAGCATATCTTCTCTCGGACTCATAATTCTCTCTCTCCGTGGCACAGAATCGACAAGAGAGTGCCACGTGATTCGGATTAGGGATGTTTCATTCCGATTCGATTCCACGGAAGGCCGATTCTCTTGTTGCTTTATGTTTGTTTTTTTAATGGGACTACATATTTTTATTCGGATTTGACAAGTGTGTATCGGATCGTTTACTTAAATCATCGACGGTGATCCGCAAGAAACGTCGCGTTGGAGAAGACGGCCGTGGAAGGGTCGCGATCGAGAGTCGCAAAAAATCGAGATCCATGGCCGATCGGGAATGAAAACGGTACTCGAACGGTTGACATTCTCTCGAAGCCGGTATCGAGTGGTTTGACCAACCGTGGACGTGACGTGTATGAAATTACTACTCTCTCTCTCTCTCTCTCTCTTTCTCTCTGCTCGTTTCTCTGTATTCTTTCTCGTTCATCGCCCCGTTCCGCCCTTTCACGAAGGAAAAAGGTTCGTCGACATCGCGTAGATTCTTCTCGATCGCTCGTGAGGAATTCGCGATCTTTAACTTCTTTCCAGGATTAGTTTCGCCATTTCGAAAAGTTTCGAATTCTCTACCTTCTATCTCTGACAGCCCAGTCTCTGCATCACGCGATCTGGGTATTTGCAATTACCTCGATATCACTTTTATTCCAACTGGTTAGAGACGACGCGTGCGCAAAAATATTATACGGCGGTCTTCGTGTACAGTTTCAGCATTAAAATTCCGCGGCCGAACGGGGATAGAAACAATGGACGGGGGCTTTCCGTGCAGCAATTCAGCGACGCGCGAAGCAATTTGAGTGAAACTACAATTGTGGTTCTACAGATGATCGCGATTCGATAATAAACAATCTGCTGTCCCAAATATCAGCGTAGAAACCTGGAATACTAACCGAGATGATTTTAATCGGTTCGATCGCCGGAGAAGACACCAGACGAACGGACGTGTTTCGATCTTGTCGAAAGTTAGCCGGCCGTGGTACGACGACTATACTTTGTTTCTTAGAAAGTGCGTGCATATTATAGTATCATTTTCCTGTCGGACTTTTTCCTTTTCAGACCTTTCACCGTCTTCGACCGACCCATCCCGAGAATACTTTGCCTCGAGAGACAGTTTCTGTCGTTAACGAGATAACATGTACGTCTCTGACTAACGAGACTCCTTCGATTTACTTCAAAGCCCCCCTGTTTGACTCCAAAAAGTTATCCCCTTGGCCGAGTCAAGAATTAATTGTTTTCCTTTGCTCGTTATATCTTCTTCGCGGCAAAGATACAAGCAGCTTTTGTATAATTTATATTACTATGGCTCGCTGCGTTCGCTACAGTATCTCGTCGATAATTAATTATTCATTAACGATTATACCGGATGGATCGAGTAAGAAGCATGAACGTTACGTAACTTTCCTGCCTTTTTTTTAGCTACGGTAATATATATTCAAATTTCTTGATAAATCGAAAGAACCGCGAGATGGTTATTCAACACGGCTGGCAAGGTTTTACCGCGAAGCAACGATTTTCATTTTCCTAAATCTATCGCTAATTGCTCGTTAGGCGGTGCACGAAGCGACATGATTTTCAGCGAATTGCCCCGCTCGCTATTACAATTAAGTTAACCGCTGCTTCGTTCTACTCGCCGAGCATCATGCTCTCGATACTCCCTCTCCGATTCCCGCGTGGAAACAGCAGAAACGTTTCGTCGATACACCGTCATAACATTTTGAAATTGTTCTTTCGTCGACGCCTCCGACTTTTTAATAGTTGAGCTTTTGGGACCTCTTGTAAATTCTCGAATCCGAAATTTTGTAAGATTTCGAAACTTTCTTAGATTTCGACGTTTCGAAAAACCCATCCTTACTTTTTAACATATAATAAGATAGTCGTTCGGGTATAGAAACCCATCTTGGTTCATTATAAACATCCAACAATTCATCGACGATAAAATTCAAACGGAGCTTGGATTATGTACAGCTATCTTTGCGTACCGATACGCGTACGCTTACTTTAATTCAGTTTTCCTCGTTCCATTATGGAAATACAGGGGTATTGTTGTTACGGCGTCGAGGACACGTTATTATCGCCGGTCGAGATTACGGTTTCAGTTGTGCCTGACATTAGAGAGAACGTGGAGAACATTGGTTTCCTAAAGTACGTGCGTACCTAGTACTCGAAGCTCTGAAAGATCGGTAGCGTGAGAATCTAGGTAAATTAGTGGTTGATACCGTAACGACGACGAAATTGACAATAAGTTCTATCAGATGTATTCCGTGTGTCGACGACATCGATCGTGCTTGAAATTATATCGAATTATCCTTCGGAAATTTATCGTTCCAAGCAGCCTTAATTAATCGTTCACGTCGTTGAGATTGCGTGACGACAGGAGGTTCCATTCGATAGATTCCGTGTAGAACCAGTCGGATTACCTTCTGTACGAGGACTTTCGTTTCGAATTCGGTCTCTCGGTGTCGTAGAGGTAATAATTACAAGGCGGTTGCTGGTGAACGAATAACGGTGTTCACCTGAACACACTATAACCTTCTCAACGTGAGAGCAATCGTATATAGGGCCGCCGTGAGAATGTAGGTGAATTGCATGGTTGATTCTGTCGCACCGTGTAAGGAATGCAGCCTCCTCCTGACCAGCCTCGAAACTTCGTTGTGTCCTGAATCGTTCGCAAACTACCGATTTTTCGTTTAAAATACTTACGAGATAATTACTCGAACCTAACCGACCGTCGAAAAATCTCACGACCTGGGAATCTTTTTAGTCGATTCTTTCGAATTTTGTTAACGCAAGAGTATCATTCCTACCACTGGTTAATCCTTTTTATTCCTAGCCTGTCGTGGTACCCTGTACACCAGTTATCGGATTTTTCATTCCCCTTGGCGGGGAAAACTGTTTTCCGCTTCATAGGCGAGCGAGTTCGAGAAAATACGAGACATCGCGTGAGGTTCACGGTAAACACCGCGTCTGACGAGGTAACGAGGTAACATAGTTGTGTGTAGTAACTTGTGTACAAAGCGTCCGTAAAAATGATTACCGGTTCTCTGGGGATACCATCGATTCCCGGCCGAGATATGTAGACGACGATGATATTTACCAGCCTCTGGATTCCGCTAATGGAATCTCGCGTGTACGATATTAATGACCGGGTTTCCTTGTTCCGTTGCGTTTAGCTGCTCCCTCTGTTCCCAATATATCGTTGACACCGTGCCATCTTGGACCTGTTCGAATTGTCACCTTCGCGTTGTAAGGAAACAAGATTTTCTCCCTCAACTAGGGCTGTACGATTAGGGATTCTTCTATTCTTTTATTTCTTCTGGACATTCTTCTGAATCAAATTAGAATCGAAGATCCCTACCTTTAATACAACATAAGTCGCAAATCTCGCTCTATCGTCGTGAATTTAATATTCGTCTAGAGCACGGCACAAGGTGGGTTCGTATGACCTCGTGACGCAATTCTAACAGCGTCTAGCGCGAACACGAGGCAAGAAGAAAGAAACGTCGAAGGGGTTTGGATCCGTGGAAGCCGTAGACCCGAGAGCTATGCGCCGTCTCTCGAGGCGGTAACGGCAGAGTTAACGGTACGTCATTCCAGCCCAATATTTATTCTTTTCGCCGGTGAATGCGCGACATTCGAAGTGTCTCCTTTGAGATTCGACAGGTGTTAGCCACTCTTCATCGACACGTGCTCCCAGGAAGCTTCAGGATCTATCGAGTTTTAAGTGAACATAGTGTGTCCACTCGACCGAACGGTTTCGAAAGTTGATTGCTTTCGTGAGAAAGTATCGTTCATCGAATTTTGATCGTTTACCTGTGACGTTTACTTCGGGGAATCCCATCCTGCGTCATTCTGGAGCAAATAAAATCCTGCCCGGTGAACCAATCGACTTACCGTTCTGTAGCTTACGACGATTTCGTGACACTTTCACGAACTAACGCACGGTTCGGCGAAAGTCGAGTGACGAAACTCTCGGTGTGTGTAGGTATACGTTACTTTGCGTCAGTTCCTCGTCGGTATTAACGATGACGCGATCCGTATTATGCAGATTTCATTCCGTTGCGTAAAAGAGACATCGGTACTGGAGATGAAATTAGGCGGGGAACATAGCTGATCAAAATTCGATAGGTTTTCGTTTCGCCGTATAGGGGATATACCGGTTGATGACTGAACCTTGAGGACCGAATCGCACCTAGATCCCAAGGATACGTTCAATTTACATAAGTCAACGAACTGGCGAAGTCGAAATTCGCCTGTAGATCTCCCTGGCACGTAAATCGTATATATATACGCGCATTCATATTGTACAAAAGAATTAGTCTAGATTGCTCAAATCAAAAAACTATTAACTTTCTAGTACTCCCTGAGATGTAATTAAATTTACCAAAATGAAAATTTCCTGTCAAGGGCCTATTATTCATTTTTGTCAAATGATACAAATGTGTTTAACATCATCGACACTCTCGTAGATACGTTTTTAGCGGAGGGAGATGTGAAAATCTCGAAGTAACAGGTACGTGCCAGTACTCGAATGCACGTCATGCCGTCAGCTTTCTCCTCTGTCGTTTCTCGAACGTCCCTATGACGTATCTGCTTAAACGTTAAATAATACGAGTCGCCTAAAAATTTCACCAGGTTTTTCCTCCAACAGTGTCTCGACGGCCGTGTGTTCAATGTAGAACCGAATGGACTTCGCGCATGGTTGCGAAAAAATGATTATCGCGAGGAGCTTTACTCCACTTTTAAATATTTATACGCAGGTCAGCTTCTCGCGGTTCGACGAACCCTCCCTTTTTCACGATTCCACGATATCTAGTGCTGGTTAAAACTTTACGGTTGCATTCGTGAGATTCTCATAGGAAATTGTTTATCTCTCGAGCGGGTGGGCGCCCGCCGCGGGGCAACCTGTCCGGAACCGGATGCGTACCTACTTACGTATCCGTATCGCAGAAATGGTACATCATCGGCTGTTATCAGTTTCCCACTGCAATTACGAGTATTCAATTACTCGATCTCTTTAATTACTCTCTCGTCGCTTGAGTCACTATTTCTGTACTAGGGACGCAAAAACGTTCACATGGTATACCGATTTGCTATTACTACCAGATCTCTGGCAGCCACGAACGAGACATAGTTGCTTCGTTTTTTCCCCTTGTCCAGCTTGAAACTCGCCGAACGACATGAAATTTTCGACAGAGGTCAAGATACCGGTTTAAGATTCGACCGTGTAGCTGGTTTAAACACCTATCGAACAGGTTCAGGCAATAATTCGTTCAACGCTCGTTTGTGGCCTTGGTTGGATAAAGGACAATCGTTCAGACCCCCAGGATCTATCGTCGAGTTTCCCATCAGACTGTGATCCGTGACGATCATTAGCACCACAGGCCATATGCGAGAGTCGGCTTGGAAAGTGTGCCTCGAATGATCTCTCGCCAGAGGAATTCCAAATGTATGTACATATCTCTCAGCCACGGATCAGGGGAGTCCTTACAGGAAATTAAATGTGGTAAAGATGGACTAAATACCCCTCAAGCAAAACACCTACGAGGACTTGGAAATGGTCCCTGTGATTGCAGAACTGTCTGCGCTTAATTGTAACATATTCCATGTACTCCAAAAATACAATAGCTCCTCGATGAATGTTCGAAGGCTCCCCGGCACTGAACATAAAACATTTCATAAACTAATCGCTATATGCAGCTGAAAGAAATATAATTGGCTTCAGAATTGCAAGCTCTATCATTGTGCTAAATCTCCTTAAAAAGTCAGCGTTATACCTTGAGACCTCTTGTTGTCAGTGCGGAGATGCCTTCGAACACTCACGAAGGATTTACTATACCTTGAAATTCGCAAGATTCGTGATCTTACCTATAAACATCAGAAGGTAAAAGGTCAGCAGGACCTTCGGTCCATCCGTGTGGAGCCTCGCCATCCTGGTTCCCTCGGCGCGTTGCGGTCGATCGTTGGGGACCTTCCCCCCGCGCGTTTGCTCTTGGAACAAGGCCAGGCTAATGTCAAGGACACGTCGAAGGAAATCACCTCAGGAGTGCCGGCAGTGGCTGGACCAATCTTTATCGTTCGTTTGAAACGTGCCACGGTGCCAACCGATCGCCGCCATTTTGGATCGCAAGCCTATGCCGTGTTAAAAACGCCGAGCATCGTGGAAACTTTGATGCCCCCCCTGGCTGCTCGCCATTCTTTCTCACCTCCTATCCTTCCCTCCCGTACGTGTAGGGGCCTTTTTTCTTCGTCTCTTTTATTCGGTCTCGCACTCTCGCGCACGCCGGTTGACCTACTTGGGACCTGCGTACAGGTCCGGTGTGTGTGTGTGTGTGTGTACGTGCGTGTCAGCTTTTCGGCCGACAACGCTGTGTATGGTTTTCTCACCTTTTCCTCGCGTTTTTCCAAATGTTCGTTCGTTAAATTCTTCAACTTTCCAGTCCCCCAAACGATCGGCTTAGTTTCACCGTGGCTCGCGATGCGGGTCGATGTCGCGCGTAGACACCTCCGGGTGTCCTTATTAGAAAGAGTTTCACTTGGGACAAGAGTTTCGAAACGGTCACGACATGAGCAAAGGCGATAGGCCAGTCCTACGCGATTTCGGTTGTTCTCGTATTAAATCTAAATTTCCACTCTGGTCTATCTACCGACTTCTGAGACATCCTTTACATGATTTCCGAGTAGTTCTACTTGTGAATCACTGGACACCAGAATCACACTGACTTTTTTCGTACACTATCGATAATAAATCGCACCCATGATTAGAACCCGATGTGTAGCACAGAATTAACACCTCGCAGATGGGACATCAAACTTTCTAGCGACTTGGATTACGGTAAAATTTCTCTGTTCCTACGACAGGATTCTCGCGACAATACCTCGCTGGTCGAACGGATTCGGGGCCCGATCGAACCGGTACGCCAGAAGGAAGGAATAAACTCGGATGAGAAACGAAAACCTTCAAGGCTCGCGATCGAATTTCGTTCGAGGTTCGTGCTTCACGGTCGTTCACACGGGACTGGCTCACCACGATGAGGACGGTCATACACGGTTTCTCCCACTTTAACTATGCCATGGTGCACTATACACTACGATTCTCTGCGAGGTGGTTATACGTCACGTCTTCGTGGCTCGCTTTCCACCATGCTGAGGCTCTACCGTCGTCCGACTCGACTCTCCTGTTTCTCCCCTCTCTTCCTCAAAATTTCTCTCCCTGTCTCTTTTCCTCTCTTTTCATCTCTCCTACCCGACGAACTCGTTCCTCCTTGTCCATGTCTGCTTCAAGTCCGTTTTGACTGGCAAAGCTTTACCTCGACCTACCTTTCGGGATTCTCCGATCACTTCCCAAACTTCTTTTTCGTCCCGTTTGTGACACAGTAATAGTAGCTGTTGCTGCTTCGTGGCTCGCCATTTCTCTCTGTCCGACCTGCAGTTTCTACAGCGAAGCGTGTCCACCTGTGCCATCGTTGTAGCCGCGCACGGTATCCATCGGTACGCTCCGCTTACTGTTTTTTTTCCCTTCGTTTTCCGAGGCTTCCTGTCGCGAAAGGGAAACGGATTTTTCCACGGTGGAAATCACGGACAACGGATTTTTCCACGATTGGCTTGGTGGATATGCGGGTAATTGTGCAAAAGTACTCGTACGAAAGCGCGTGCACGATGCAGGTTAACGGGATTCTAGGGGCAGAACGCGCAAGCATCGGGAATTGATCGACTCCAAATCTCACTGACCCTCTTGGTAATGTTGGAAATTTAAAATGACCATAACTTGGTTGTTACTTTTACAAGGATCTAAGGATCAACCCAGACCCTGGAGAACATACTCAGTGTTCTTGTGGAAAACGTTCGTTGGATCTTCTTTAGGTTTGCTTTTGATCCTTAGTACAGTCATGAACCCTTGTTTTGTTTCATCCTGTACATTTGTTCCTTGTCGCTGCATTCCCTGAATTTCTAGAACTCATTGTATTCCAATGTTAACACGGATGGTGTACCCTATTGAAAGGTCTTCGTTCGAAAAAGCGTAGGAAAATCAGGAAAGAACTATTACCATCGATTTAATGAGAGAGTAGTTGGCTGATTAAAGTTCAACCGGTATTAGTCTCGCGGAAAAAGGAGTTTCGCTGGAACGTCTCGATCGTTCGTTCATGGCCTCTGTGTGTAATGTTCCCGCGTAGTTACCCAGCTCCCCTCGACCCTTCATTTTCTACTTCTCTTCCTACTTCTTGTTTCTCTGTATGGTAAAACCAGGCTGGAATGCGCGGGACTTGCTGCCCTCCCTCCGATTGATCGGGCAGCATTGATCTTCGGAACGATGCCCCTGGAGGGTTGCATCGTGATCTTACTGCACGCTGAAATAAATCGACTATGCTACCTTATTCGTTACTGAAAAACGAATGATAAATCTCGAGCCTGGATCTGTTCGTCACAGATCTGAATTGTTCCTCCGACCTGTTTCAATGAATTTTTTCAAGGTTTCGATTAGAATTCCGCCGAGGGTGTAATTTCGAGGGGGGCAAACTCTCTGTTTACCCATTGACCTCACGTAACACGGGCGCACCTTTTTTCTAGTCGCTCAAAGTTTGTGAGACACACGAGGCTTGTCCGCGTTGCAACACACGCCGCGTGGAGAATTAAAATTGCATTTCTGTGTATAACGGAGCAGCCCCCCTTGGGCAAGTGTCCATGAAATTACTCGGTCAAGCAACTCATCCGGGATGGGAATAATAGAATGAAAATCGTCTCATTATCCCGATCGGATCGTGGAACAGAATATATTATAATTTAAATCAATTTACCGTACTTCGACGTAACCCGTTTAAATCATTCATTGTTCAGCCTTTCGTACAATATCCGCTGAATCTAACTAGAAACTGAAACTAGGCGTCACGATTAATTGTCACAGACGGTTTACTAATCACGAAGCCACGAAAAATCGAGAAGTACCTGAACAGTACAGAACAGGTGCGAATACGACGTGATCCGCCATTGGGAAGGTAGTTGATTCAGTGTTCCCTGCACCGGAAAGACAGATTTCTGCTGTCGGTAAGCCGACTTCCGACATCCCGCAGTCGATAGCTCGATAATTCCAAGTACATTTTTAAATTCCTGCGCAATGTTCCATTCAAACACAATTTATACGATGCATCGATACATCGATTAGACACAAAAGACACTTTTTAATTGGCCAAGTTTATAACCTGACTATATATAATTTTTTTGTTGAAAATCAGCGATTTAATTTCAAAATTTAACCAAAGGCAAGATTCGGGTAAGAGGATCCACCGGGTAGTTTGTCAGACGCGTTCAATGGCCTTGAGAAACCACTTGATTTTATTCGGACTACCAGTAGATTCATTCCATCCGCGTTTTCCTATGCGACACACGGCCAGACTACACCCGTAGGTAGGATATATATTCTCTATTTTCATTCCAAGCCCAGGCCGAACAATGGGGGATCTAAATTGGGCAAAAACCAGTCTGCCCGTCTAGTTTGGCGAGGAAGGCGTTCCCTGTGCCGCTGCGTGGAACAACGTCGGCCAACCAAAAGGGTCCGACAATAAGGCCCCGTCGACTTAGCCGGCAGCAGCCAGTGCCCGAAATCGATCGAGATGACCCCTCCGTCTCTTTCGGTTGCATACGCTACGCGGGGCCCCATGCGAATGGCCGCGCGTGAGTCCCCGGGTGAAAGTGGTAATTAACGACGCGCACCGAAGGAATGTCCCATTCCTCTTGTCGTTCCAAGAAGGGGGTGGGAAGGGGACCGTGTGTCGCGAGTGGTTCATCGTACTCTCGACCGGTTATGACACCGCTCGCTTTTTATTTATTCACCGTTTCTTTATCGCAGAACGATCCCACCGGGGTCGCTTTCCCGTTTCTGCCCTTTTTCTTTCAGGCCCGACAACGACCAAATCCGATTCGATCGGTATCAAGATCGATGAAACAAAAATTGCGAACGATTCCCTCCAGCTATCCGTATCTTTCACTGTGTTTTATCATTGTAGTTGAACACTTAAAGAGGATCTATCAGTTTTTTTGCTGGTCAGATTCGCTGAATCCAGCGTTTCAATGCGTCCAGTCGTTTGATACGTACGGCTGTGTTTTATTCGACAGATTGATGGGCGGTTATGACGGCAGTCTTAAAGGGTAGGATTATTTTTAGCGGTACGAGGGCCCTCACGACAGGGTCAATACGCGCGCGGTGTTGCAACGCGGACGATAAGATGCACATTTCCGTGGGCACATTCTGTGGTGCTCGTGGATCGTACAATCGGTTCATTGTGTTGCTCCTTCTCTCTCTTTCTCTTTGTGCTTTAAAATACTGTACGGGCCTCTGTGGGGTTTTGCCAGGTGCCACGCGGTTTCCAGGTGGCTGACTTTGAATTTTAAGATCGATGTAAAGTATTTGGTGTGCAAATTGCTGGCTTTCTTTTCATTGATTTTTTGTTTACTTATAAAAAACGGAAATACAGTCTAATCTTGAAAATATTCCCCATCACTTTTTGCTAGAACTATAGGTATTCAAATAGTACGAGGATTAGAATTATTCGATTATTCGTAACAGTCCTACTTTCTACACATTTACGCCATTTCTGGGACAGTTGACGAATCAACCCTCCAAAAAATGATTAATGAATTAATTTATACACCTAATATATACAACGATAATCTTTTATATGTTCAAGGGATCGATAAACGTACCGTTCCTTTCTGTATTTACAGTCTGATTACAGTCTTTATACAATTCTTGCCTATAATTGCCAATAATTCTTGAATAAATAAAGTCAGGCTGATATAATTGCCAATAAAGTACAGGTTCCTCGATGGTTTTCCCAAAACGTGGCCAAACAGCCATAATGCCAGCAATAATCCGACCGGCTGCCCAGCGAAACAAAACCATAACCACCCCCCCTAGTCTGTGTATCGAATTCTCAT